CCAAAACTATCAAAATTCTATAAAAACTTCATAGCTTCTTTCTTTCTCTCTTTCACTCTCTCTCTATATATATCTATATGTGTGTGTGTGTGTGTGTGTGTGTGTATCACTTTTTAAAATCTAACCCTCCTTTAATTTATATGGGTTAGTTAAAATTTATATTCATATTTTTCTAAAAATTCTGAATTTATTTCAGATGCACTGCCTAAGTTCTTCGTATGCTTAAGGATTCATTTGAAGTCCACGATCTGCCTCATCTAAAAGAAAACAATCAAATTGGATTAAAAATGATCATGAAAGTGAGAAAAATTAGGATAAATGGCATTAAAATGCTAGATGTTTGAAATTCTCAAATAGCAGTGTTATGTTTTAGGATGATTTATGCTCCTGAATAGAAATTCTGTGAGTCTTTTTTCTCCTTAAAGGGAACACTTGGTTTTTAAGCACTTAAGTTTATGTGAAAATTATGATGATATTTCATTCAATTCCAGAATCTTAGAATCTTAACCTAAATTCCATGTGCTTGCTTTTGAGTCTTTTTATTGCAAAAGCAGGAAAGAAACAATATAAATTCTTCACTGTGCCTTTACCTCAGCTCAACTTCCCTGACAGAATCTTTAATGAAAAGGATTCATAAAAATGGAATGAAGAATGAATATATCTATGAACTAACAGATTCATGACATAAAATTAATATCCTGAGAAAGCAAGCAAAGAAATCAAAATAAGACTTTAGAGATCTGGAATTATGTGCTCATTTTTTTCTGGAATCATTTGCAATTCACCATGATTGTGAGTCCCTTGTCCAAATAGTGACCTTTTATCTTCCTTTGATGTTTATAAAGGTGTCTTTTAATTCTCCAAAACACACTAGAAAAGTTGTGGGCAATTTAGTTCACTTCAGATTTATAAGATGCAATGTGATTAAAGAAATAATTACTAGATAGAAAGGAGTATTATTTCAGGGATATTAGTCCCCTGAACTTCTAGAAGCATTTACTATGTCAACATTGGACATTCTAGGTGCCTCAGAACATAGCTGTCCTCAGAAAGGGAAGTTTTAATCACTGGCTTCAAACTCGCTATTGCTCAAACTCATCATGACCCTTCATAGACTCTAGAAAATATCATTCTCAGTTCAATAATGACCTTAAAAGGATAGAAGAGCTGTGAAATATGTGGCTAAGAGTGCTTGGTCCAGAGGCAGATTGCCTGGGTTTAGAATGGGGCTCCATTATGTATAGATTATGTAGCAGTAGGCAAGTGTGACCGTTATAAATGTATTGTTTCTCAGCTCCAAATCCACCCAAATTTGCCCTGCTACAAGATACTAGACCTTAGAAACATTTCTCTTTTGAATAACTCAGCCAGTATCAGACTTCTCCATTTCTTTCTCTCTCTCTCTCTTCTCTTTTCCTCTTTTCTCTTCTTCTCTCTTCTCTTCTCCTCTCCTCTCCTCTTTCTTCTCTCTCTCTCTCTCTCTCTCTCTCTCTCTCTCTCTCTCTCTCTCTCTCTCTCTCCTCTCTCTCTTCCCTCTCTCTCTCCTCCCTCTCTCCCCCATCTCTCCCCCCTCTCTCTTTCTTTACTCTTCTGTCTCCTACTCCTGGCTATAATACATCCATGTTCTTATGTTTTGAGTTCTATCTTGCATTTAGTTCAAATTTTATACTTCAACATGGTAACTGATGGTTAAAGGTGTGTGTTTGTTCATTGCTACTGGATTAAGGCTAATCTGGTTTGCTTTCACAGGCACATCATTTCCATTGTGTAGAGGTCTCAGTTCTGGCCATCATTAAACAGCACTCAATTGAGTAATATGTGCTTTACATTCATTAAATAAATATGTATGCATAAATCTTGGCTGAATGAGTCAGTACTTGCACTCACAATTGGCTTCACCTGCTCTGTTTGGGCATTCAGGTGTGAAATCACAGCCCTTGCTGGATGAAAAACAGCCTGTGTCCTCTAGTGACACAAATCCAGCTTCAAATTGAGATCAAGAGAATAAAAGGCATTCTCGTCCCTTTCAACAAATAAATGGAATTAAAATTGTTTCATCAACACTAGTTTTTAAATATGTTGAATGTTAAGAAGCCTGATAATAGGCCAAATCAGAGAACCACTTGCTATTTTCATCATGTATATTATATTTCAAATGTAAGTATCAGACTATTGCTGTGAAGTGGTGAAGCCCTTTGTGTGTGAGTTAAGGCCTTCAAATCTTCAGTTCAAGCACAGAGTCTACGTAAACCTCTGGCCATTTTTGCCCTCCAATGTAACAATTAGCTATGTGACAGGGAACATTTTTAAAATTCCCTCTCTCAATCTCTCCCTAAACTTCTTCCCAGAAGAAGATCTGAAAATCTACATAAAGCAGATCCTATAATTGCATATTGGTCATATTTGCAAAATAGTAAGAAATTATTTCTTTGTGTAAAACCTTTGATCATTCAGGAATAATTCATGTAATTTTGGCCTAGTTAGATGTATGCTCTAACCAACTGGCTTGGTGTTTGGATTAATGTCCACATAAAAGAATTCTGGATTAATTTAGGAAAAGAGTTCTTAATAACCATGATCAAGTTTTTACAGAGACTTGGTAAGGTTAACTTTAATTATAACTCAAAAATCTTTATCTGTATATTTGCTTCTCAGCACTCAGAAATTGATAATGCAAAGTACATAGAACTGATGGAGATTGGAGGGTAGGGGAAGGGAAAAGAGGGAAGGGGAGGAGAAGGAAGGCTCAGAAGCAAGAAGCTCATTCTGACCTGCCATTCTGCATGAGCCAGCTATTAAGAAATTTTCTGACCCAACTTGCCTGAAAATAGATCATATGATCCTTACTCCAGAGAGATCCGTCTTATAACCTAGATGAAAGAATCCTACAGAGCCCAAGAAGAATCTCAATAAAAGAGTCTTGCTCAGTCCCTTCCCCCTTAGTCTATTACCATTAGATCATACCCTACCATCCAATCAAATTTCTACATGGCTATCCATTCTTCATGGAACCTAAAGATAAAAATGAACATTTTCCCCTGGATCTTTAGGTCATTATTTCTGAAGCCATCTATGTCATGAAATCTTTGATCAAATAAATTTGCTATGCTTTTCTTTTGTTAGACTGTCTTATTAGAGAAGCATAGGCTGTGATTCTTATGATGAATGGAGAAAGGTTTTATACCTTTTAGCCCCTATACCTCCAGTTAAGCATTCTTCAATGTCAAGTTCAGTACCTTTCTTTCATTCCAGTGCTGGTGATGTGGTACTTGATTTGGAGAAAGAAAATGTTTATTTAAACTAGAAATAAGGTAGTGGTGGCAAACTCTTAAAAATTTATGAATCATTAAGTGAATCTTCACATATGCTGTTTTGCATTCCTCAGTATCTATCAGAGCCATGGCAGATACATACAGAACTTAGAAAGGCTTGCAAGTACATAGTACACTCATTCTGGCAGGATATTAGCACATAGGATCATATAATCTGTAGAATGAAAAATCTCCTTAATATAGAATGAAAGATCTCCTTAATAAAGGATCTTTAATTAAAAGCAATATTCACAATAGTTAAGATATGGGATCAATCTACATGCCCATCAATGGAGGAATAGATAAAGAAAATGTGTTATACATATATGATAAACTATTATTCAATTATTAAAAACATATAACAGATATGTTATATATTTTATGGATCACGAGGAGAGAGGAGCTTAAAGTTTCCAAACACAAAATCATGACAAGAATATGGAAAAGTTAATTAACCTGATTTGATCCATACATATTGTATACAAGTATTCATGTATCACACTGCCCCATAAATTCACACAATTTTATGTTAATACATTTGCTTTTAGATATTTAAGGAGATGTGAATGCTAACTACATGATCTGATCATTGTACAGTATATACATGTATCAAATTATGACTCTGTACTCCATTTATTTTCACAATTAAAATTTAAAAATAGTAAATTAATTTTTAAAAGTTCTTAATCTAGCTTTCAATCTAGAATTGTGTTCCATCACTCTCCCTCTCTTTCTCTCTCTCTCTCTCTATATATATCTACATATGTATATAATTGATTAGTCCAATTAACTGCTTTAAGAATGTAATTTTTTCCACTCAGTAAATATGTTATTTCAGGAAGCATTACTATAGAATATATAGTATGCCTGATTTCACATGAAAATATTTTCCATGCATAGGGACTATGAAAAGGGAAGGGTGATAGCTTTCAGACTTTTTTGTTACCCTCTATTTATTTATTAAGACCCAGGAGTAGAGATGGTTAGAGAGGAACATCAATTAGTGTTAGAATTATGGAGTAACTGGAAGTGGAAGGTACACTTTTTCAGTGCACTTCTAGAATTTCCATAATTGATATAGTTCCAAAATATTTATCTGATCATTTGGGATTCATTTTGTGTAACAGTCTTTCTGTCCTTTAACTAAGATCCTCTACAAAAAATTTAGTCAAAGAATTATCCAAACTCCATCTGTTCTTTGTAAATATTATGTTTTGAATGTAAGCACATAATTTGAGGTCAATTTCTCTATTTCTGCCTGGCCTTAAGTTACTTTTCCAAACATGGCATTATGATTTATTTTCTAAATATGAAATATGAAGTATGATTCTGAAATATGACTTTCATTATATGTTTATCTGAAGTGCCAAATAAAACTGGGAAGTGAATTTTTATAGAAATATCTTTAAAACACGCAAAATAATTAAAATTCTTTCATAATATTCATGATTTAAAAACCCATATGTGACAATGTCACATACAAGTAGAAACACTTTCATATTATTAGAAGAGAGGTCTAAGACCTGCACTGTGATGTATTTTTATCTTTTTAAAACCTGTATGTTTTAAGTGTCAAGAACATATGATATAATCCACATCCTGTGTTAAGTATTACTGACTGATATATTTTATATTTTAACATGAATAAGAGCTAAGTAACTCAATGTTGAAATTGTAATTATAACTTACCTGTGTTTTGTATTTTGGCACCTGGAAGCAATTCATAGGAAATTTCACATCCCTGGGATACACTGATATCATCTACAGCAACAGTAGCATTTGATTCTGTAACAGTAGCTTCTAAAATTAACTACAATTACAGAAAAATAAGATTATTAGCAATATGCCATAAAGGTAAATGTTCACAACCATATTTCTTCCTATAGAGGAACTCATTTACACCTGTCCCACTTCCAATCTAATTTTAGAAAATTATTTTAACCAGACCATTCAAATTATAAATTTGTAAAGTCATAATTGCTTTGACAGCATCTTATATAACCTTAATCTCTTAGGTAACCTTGTTTCAATTAAAAGTTGTAACATCCATCATTAGTGAAGGGCACTTTTCCCATTGGAGTCATTAAAAGTCATATGCATTGAAAATGAGCTCTTTGGGGTAATCAACTGTTTGGTTTGCAACTCAATTTAATTGAGATATGAATTCATTTGTAATGGGTTGGCTTGAGCCAGTGACTCATTTCCATATCAGAGTATTTAAATATGTGCATATTATATATACATATATAGAAACATACTTATGCAATAAAGCATACAGCATTTATTTAAGTTTCATTTATTCTAACACTCTGAATAATGACTGATATAATTGATGTAATTTTCTTTCTTTTCTACTAGTCACTCACATCATTGTGTTTTTGTTCCACCACAAAACAGAGATAGAGATGAGAGGGAGGGAGAGAAAGAGAGAGAGAAAATCCTGGACATGGGATATCTGATGTCCACAGTCTCACGATATACTGTGTGAGTTGGGCTGGGCACATTCTACTCCCAAAATGGCATATCAGAGGTCACTCTGACTTTTCCTCCCCTTTCTGTATGAAAGCTGGTTGTAAAGGAATGACCTGATATTTCTCTCTAGAAAACAGGCCAGAAGACCCACATATGACAGGTGTCCTGCCCGTTCCTAGATGAAAGGAATCTTATAGAAAGAGGTCAAGAAGAATCAGAACTAATAGCCTTTGTGAAGTTCCTTCTAATTTATTTCCCTTAAGAGTCATACTCTTTTTTCCCCAATCACAATGGATGGACATAACTACCCATTATTCACTGAGCCTAAGCATAAAAATACAGTTTTCCCTGGGTCTTTAGGAATTCATTTCTAATGTCCTGTGTCAAGTTAAACTTGCTAAATAATTTTTTTCTTTGCTGTCTTTAATCTATCTCTCATTATAGGGGTGTCAGCCATGACCCTTGTGATGGGTGAGGAGAAGATATGAATTTTCTTGGCTACACTTGGTATAATATATTAACAACTAAGCCACCTTATAAATGCTATACATAAGATAAGTATAACACACTAGGAGAATCAAAAAACACCCTGATACTTCTGCCATGAATACAGGACTGAGAGTTTGATGAAATATTTACTGGAAAGGTAATATTAAACCTCATCTATAATTGATGCCACATGTCTTTCCCCAAGAAGTGAGATAACAATGCAAGTAAAAGTGAAGAGATGTGAAAGTACATGGTATGCTGGGAAAACTTTGGGTCTTGTACCAGTACAGGATTTTAGGAGAATTAACTGTATAACAGATTGAAATGATCAACTGCAGGAGCTGAGCTAGTCCTAGTACAGATCAACTGAAAAACATCCATGAAAAATACAAATAGCATAAGCTATGCAAATTATGTCCATTTCTCTGCATTTACCCCTGGTACTCATAGGTATACACATGAAGACTGTGCAGGAATGTTTTCTTACTTCTGTGCTGATTTTTATAGCAAATGACTAGAAACAAATGTGAATCCATAAATAAATGGTGCTATACACCATGGGATACTATGTGCATTAAAATACTACCTATCTTTATGTGCTAATATGGAAATACCTTCAGCATGAGTTTTTGAGTTAAAAAGTAGGTTTAAAAAATTTGGAGGCTACTTAAAAAGCTAAACATTGATCTACCATTTGATCCAGCAATACCACTCTTGGGGATATACCCAAAAGACTGTGACACAGGTTACTCCAGAGGCACCTGCACACCCATGTTTATTGTGCACTATTCACCAATAGCCAAGTTATGGAAACAGCCAAGATGCCCCACCACTGACAAATGGATTAAGAAAATGTGGTATCTATACACAATGGAATTTTATGCAGCCATGAAGAAGAACGAAATGTTATCATTTGCTGGTAAATGGATGGAATTGGAGAACATCATCCTGAGTGAGGTTAGCCTGGCCCAAAAGACCAAAAATCGTATGTTCTCCCCTCATATATGGACATTAGATCAAGGGCAAACACAACAATGGGATTGGACTTTGAGCACATGATAAAAGCGAGAGCAGACAAGGGAGGGGTGAGGATAGGTAAGACACCTAAAAAATTAGTTAGCATTTGTTGCCCTTAACGCAGAGAAACTAAAGCAGATACCTTAAAAGCAACTGAGGCCAATAGGAAAAGGGGACCAGGAACTAGAGAAAAGGTGAGATCAAAAAGAATTAACCTAGAAGGTAACACACACTCACAGGAAATTAATGTGTGTCAATGCCCTGTATAGCTATCCTTATCTCAACCAGCAAAAACCCTTGTTCCTTCCTATTATGGCTTATACTCTCTCTACAACAAAATTAGAAATAAGGGCAAAATAGTTTCTGCTGGGTATTGAGGGGATGGGGGGAGAGAGAGGGGGCGGAGTGGGTGGTAAGGGAGGGGGTGGGGGCAGGGGGGAGAAATGACCCAAGCTTTGTATGCACATATGAATAATAATAAAAAAAATTTTTAAAAAGTAGGTTACAGAAAAATATACTATGATACTACTCAAGCTGAAAACATACAGTGGTTTATACCTCTAGATATATGTGGTACATACATAAATATTCAATAAATAGAAATGGACTATACCTACAATACTCAAGATAAAGGGTATGATGGCATGCATGTGACCAGGAGGCACTATTGTTTTATTTGCAAATTATGATATTTTATAGTATAATATATATAATTTTAATAATTTTTACAATTCTGACTAAAGCTGGCTTCTGTAAAATCTGGACCAATTATGAAATGTGGTTTTCCTATAAGAGGCAGAAAATAAAAACATGGGTCTTAGAGAACAGTTTTGGTGAAATGTATACAAGCACTATGATTTAGAAATACATTAACACTATTAAGTAATTATAACTTATTTTAGACAGCTACAAATTTTAAGGAATTCTCCTTTTGCTTATTATTATAGAACATGTCATGGTAAAGCCCATTAAAATACAGGTGCTTAACTCTTCAGACTCATTAGATAGTCATTTGTTGATCACTATATTTGAAGGTCTTTGCTACTCAAAGAAAAGCTAGAGAAAAGAGAGAATCTTGTAGGTATTTCTCTGTGGTCCTAGAGAGATCTATACTCCTAATCTCCTAATGGAATTGCTGAGGCCTGGGAAGTGACCCACAGATAGATCCTTAAGATGTGGTTATTTCATTTCACCTAAAGGGAAACTTCTGTTTGATTCATGACAAAATGTAATTTTAAACATAACTTCAAAAGTCAAATTAAAATGGTATTAGGCCATCTTCACTGCTATTACTTCACTACCATGTAATAGGAGTGTAATTCTACCATTAATTAAAATCACCCAAATTTTAAAGGAAAAATGTTTATTTTGTCTTACCAATTTATAACTATAGATAATTGTCATGTCATGGTTCTAAAATGATCTTACCTACTCAGATTTTCATTGCTTTTTTTAAACTAAGCTGATATTTTGAGCTGTGATCAAAGAGAGCTAGTGAGTACTGATAATTTCACTAGTCAAATATAGTTGAGTCTATTTAGTATCAATGACTAATAAGTGAAAAAGGTTGTTTAGAAAAATATTGCAACTATGATAAAGTAAGAACTTCATTTTATAAGATTCTTTAGGTAATTTGAGAATTTAAATTTCAAACCAAATATATACATATATCCCTTCAAAAACTGTTTTTCAAGATCTTGCTGGGTTTATTTTATGCAATTACTTTGCTCCCAGAAAGAGCAAAATAATTTGTTGCTTTCATAAACCACAACTCATAAATGTTGTCCACAATCAAGTGATTACTTTCTACACCTGCAAAACTACAAGCTTTCCCAGAAAAATACTCTGCTAGTCTATTCATATATCTTGTGCTATAAAAGAACAAGACAAAAGTAAATATGAATCTAAGAGAAAATGGGAATATGGTGAGAAGAAGAACAAAATTAGAATATGATAATTTTTGAGGAATGATGGTGGTATCAATAATAAAAGCAATAGCCAGTTTTTATTTAGCACTTACTATATGCAGGGTACATTTACATTTTTCAAGCTTGCGAAGATAGTACTATTTTTGTTTTCATTTGAAAGTTAAAGAAAAGGAAGTAAAGAATAGAAGCAATTAGATGAAAATATGTAACCTGAGCCACTGGTGATTATGCTAATTATGCTACACTGATCACCATAATGAAATAAAGAGATTCTGATCCTTAGCAGATACTGCATAACAGAGCTACCTGACCAAACAAGATTTAATATGCCTGAGATAAAGAAGAGTGAAGATACAGTAGTGTTACAGAGACTAGATCAGCTTTTACTTTTGCATTACAAATCTTACCCTTCATTGAACCTTCAAACAACACCAGGAAATTGTCATTGATGCTGATAAAGAGTGAACACAGTATCAATCATTGTGGAAAATTTCACAGAAGAGTCATTTGAAGATGAACTCTAAAGTATGATATAATTATGTTCAAACAGGAACTTACAGATGGTGGACCAATTTGAAATCAATAGACAGACTCAGAAAATTTCCCTTTATATACTAAAACTGAGATCATAAATTAGGATAAGAAGAAATCACAAATTAAAGAGTGTATTTGTGTGAAAATCAGAGCAGCCAAACATGAGCAGACCAAGTTAAAACCACATTAGAATGAATACTTATTAAGTACTTGACTTGAATTTTTCCAATAAAACCACCCAGGTAATGGAAGAATGTCAAAATACTGTTAATTTGGTGTTCTTATAGAAGAATAACAAGCCTAATCCTTTGCCAGGAGGAAGAATGAACATCCTACCAACTGGTACTGTTTGTTTTATAAGAAACTCAAAGCACTTTGTACTCTGTTATGATTTAAAATTGACATAAAAAAGACCATACTGACTGAATTTCATGGCTAAATGGAAATAGAGAGGTCACATAGTCCAATGCCTTTCTTCTTTCCAATACTTGGATTGGATGAGATTACCCTATTTAAATATGTTCAGAGCTTAGTTACACTGAACTGGTAACCAGACCATGACTAAGGTCGCCACTAAACTTAAAGTCCCCAAATTCTAGTCTGTTTCTAAGAAGGCAATCAAAATACATGAATACTTAAATCATAGAAGATATTTATATTTATAGTATCTTCTCCACTGTTGATAAAAAATGGTGTAGAACTGTACATAGCTTAAATTCTCACATGTATTTCCATGCTTTTGAGAATACACTTAAAAAAATCAGGTTGATACCAACATTATGAGTTTTTGTTTTTTCTGCAGAAGACAAGAATGGTATGAAAAAAAGATACAAAGAAGACAAAAGCTGCCTCTTTACAGGCAAACAAACATTAATATTATAAGCAAACAAAATGTTGAGGTGTGAGAACATGTATATCCATTTCTCTATGCATTTGCTACTAGCTTGAAATGTTTAACAAATATATGTCATTAATGTATTAAATATTGTCATATATTTGATGTGTGAGTATACATGTATGTATGTTTATATAAATATACTCATATATATATATGAGTGTGTAAAATATAGATGACTCAGAAGTCCTTATGTAAAGTCTTTGGGAGCCAGATGGGTTTTGAGATTTGTATAGCTCAGAGTTGAGAATATTAATAGAACAGTAGTAGTGTTTATTACAAGATACCCTCAAGGAGGTAGGATCAACACTGTATAATCAAACCCATCATTAAACAAACTGCCTAACAACCTCATATTGATTCAGGTCAGGTTAGGTTTTGCCTCTCAATTCATTTCTCCAAAGTTTATCACTTTACAAATTTAAATTTCTAAATTGCTGATTAGAGATTGTAGACCTTTAATGGTAAAAATTGCTGGCAAAAGTTGAGGGACTTTTTTTATTACTTGACTAGTTTGTAAAGAAAATGTGTATTATATCCAGCTTATAAAAGGATTAAGGAAGGAAGAGGGGAGACACAATGGAAAACTCCTACATTCCCTGGGATGAAGTAAATAGGTACAAGGCCCAGCAAGAATCCTGCATCAAGGCTGGAGAGAATAGTAACACAGTTTGTTGCCACCCTATTACAAACTCTTACCAAGCCACTGGTCAGTCTACAATTTAGTTATTATCCCCTCAGATAATAAGGGATACTCTCAATTTGCATTGCAAAGCAAAGTAAATCCAAAACTTAAAAAAAACAGTAGTAGTAGTAGTATTAAAGAGGAAAAAATACAGATGCTGAAAGACTTCAATAATAATAATAACAGTAAGTCAATGACAGCTTCCAGTTGTCGAAATGAATGACATGAATTTCAACTCATATTTCTCAAATAATTAGGCCTAACCAAGCACATTCTGTTTTCTTCTCAATATGTTAATTATCAGTAAACTCTGATAGATCCTCTTGTTAAATTTCATTCCAGCTAAAATTAACCTAATACAAACAATATTATGGAGAATATAGCCACAGGAGGCTAGCAATCAGATTGTCTGTATTTTGCTTGTCCTGTCAAATGCAATGGAGATTGACACCGAGGTGACTCCATGACTACCTTTGTATCCAATGCTTCTCCACTAAGAGCTACCAATGTGGCTATGTCCATTAAATGTGGGTGTGGAATCATAAATTTACCCTTGAGAATCAGGAGTATTTGGAGTCCTCCCTCTAAGCAGAGACCTCTAAGGATTGAGCTTAGAGTTCTGGTCAAGAGGAGATTTCCTTTCTCAATAAAAAATATTAATATTTTTAAAGTATCTACTACTCCCAGACAATATGCAAGTAATAACATCAGCAATAATAAATACCTACCATATGTGAGTTTAATCCATTCCAGAGTATGTGCTTTACATATATAAGCCATTTATTCCTTAAATTAATTCTATAAAGTAGAGAATACCCATAGGATTTGTTGCTTACTCCCCTTTCTCCTACTTCTACAGGAAGGAAGTTCCCTGCAGTGACACTACTGTTACTTACCCTTTACTCTTTCCTATAAGAGGAACAGGATGTAACTGATTTCTGATGTTAGAAGAAGGCACTGTGCATGGTCAGCCCATTCCCTTCTACCACTTATAGCTTGCCTGTCTCCAGCAGGCATGAATTCTGATACTATCTCTGGTTAATCAAAAAGTCTTCCCCTATTTTCCTCCACAGTCAGTTATTCTCTGTGTAAATCTATTTATCCTGAGGTCAAGTATTATTTTAAATATGTAACTATAGATTGTAAAGACATCTGTTCCCAAATATTTCATTCTTTGCTTGACTCTACATTTATCTCAATTGGTCCAGAAATGAGGACCAGGTGAGGTTTGCTATTCATCAGGGACCCCAAAGCCCCAACAGTCATGCTCCCAGCCCACACTGATAGAAGACACAAAAACACAGAAAACTTAAGTAAGTTCCCTATGACTGTACACTTGGGCTTGAAACCAGGCTCCAGAGTCCATGTATACAGTCACCATTTTAACTACAATCTCTTTAATGCTCAGACATCCCTGAAATATTTTGTTCATCATCATTATGGATTTCAAAGATTAGCAAATAGAGAGCTCAAAGATAGTATTTGTATAGTTACTTTAACCAATGAGCTGCAGCAGAGACTAGAACTTGGAGTACCTGACTGGAAAGGTGGCGGAATTACATTCCATCCTCCAATTTATTTTCTAGAATTATTTTTTTCAAATGTCACCAAGAAAGACATTATGTCCAGGCGTTAGAAATTGGAACATCCACTTAATAACCTACTATTGCCATCTTTTGTATTTAACCAAGACAATCACATCAAACATTGAAAAAATCCTCATGTTAATGGATAGAGGAGGATGTGGGGAGAGGCTGCAGGAGGGTGAATATGGTACAGATTTTGTGAACACACATATGTAAATGGAAAAATGAGACCTGTTGAAACTACTCCAAGAATGGGGGGAGGGGAGATAAAGGAAAATAATGATGGAAGGCGTGAATTCAACTATGACATACTATAAGAACTTTTGTAAATATCACAATGTACCTCCAGCACATTAATAAAATAAAATTTAAAAATGGACAGCAGACAATGAGGCAATAGGATTAAATGAAAATGTAGACCAAGTCAGAGTCTTTTCTCCACTTTACAGAATTCACCATCTTCACTTAGAAAAACATTCTTTCAATTCACTCTTCTCTCTGCCATCCTTTTTAATGCTTATCTCCATTTTTGCTATTCTTCCAAATCTAAGTCTTGAGCACTTCATCAAAACAACCTCTCTACTCATTCTTCATCATGAGTCTGTCTCTTTTATTAATATGTACTAAATTTATCATACATATGTTATTTCATTGTCTGAAAGGACTAGCATTAAATAAATATCTTCTACTTAGTTATATTCATTTCTGAAGTGCTTACCTGGAAAGGCAGAGTACACTCTCCAGCTTCTGAATAGAGATTGATTTTTGCTTGGCTCCAGTGAGACTCAGAGAATCCAATCACTTCCCCTTGCATTTGCCATTTGCCATCTAGTGATGTTCTTGTAAAAACTGAGAGATATGAATGCTCAGACAGATAATACCAAAACTGCACCTGGAAAAAAAGTTTTGAATGATGTAAATATTCTATTTCCTTATCTCTTGTACTTTTTCTATAATTTAAAATATCTCAAACTACTTTGGTAGTAAGTCTAATTTTCTCAATTTTCCCTTCCTCCAAGTGTGCATCCCAGAAAATGCAAATAGCCCCTTGGCCATACTTTATGTTTCTCCCTTAAAAAAATGACTCAAGGCAGTTACACAAGCACATGCCAAAAAGGTGTCAATGTAAATGGGATGATAACATATAGGCAAGACAAGTTTAAGGACATATATTTTTACGGGCAGTTTAACTCAGTCTCTCGTGTGTGAGGCAGGCACTCTGCCACTTGAGCCATTCCATCAGTCCTTTTGGCTTTGGTTATTTTTAAGATACGGTCTTGCTTTATGCTCAGACAGGACTGTAATGTAATCCTCCTATCCATGCTTCCCTGCAACTAAGATGACAAACACACTACTGGAGCCAGCCATGGGTTGAGATGGGGATCTTGTGAACGTTTTGCCTGGGCTGGCCTCCAGCAACCCACAATCCTCCCAACCTCTACTTCCCAAGAAACTAGGACTACAGGTGTGAGCCACTGCGTCCAGCATTCTTGCTTCTTATAAATCTTGGAGCTATGCATTGTGATTCAAAGTTACAAAGTCAAGTGTCACAGTTTCACTTAGTGCTTTAGATAGCACACCAAGAAAAAGTATCCCTGAAAATCTGTTTTCTCAGGCAAAGGAAAATTATAATGAATAATTGTAATTAATTTCTTCTCTGTTGTGACATTATTAATGAGCTTGAGAACTCATGGGAGTAGTTCACCAATAATGTAAGCCAAGTAAGAAAATAATCTTTGGGAGGTTAGTGAGCCTTAATCATTTTCCTTCCTAATCATCTTTAATGATGACATAATCTAAAGGTTTGATGGCTTAACTATATAATGAAGACAACAGAGAAAGAGGAATAGTTTTGGTGCTGACAGCAGAAGCTGTAACATGGAATTCGGCGCTCATTTGTTCTACCAATATTTACTGAGCACTTATTGAGTACCTGGGACTATACAAGACAAAATTAATTTCATCACCAATTGAATTATTTACTTTATAAAATATATCAACCAAAACTCCACAAAACAAAGTTCAGATACACTGCAGTCATTTTTGTCCTTTTTATTATCATACAGAAAACCCTAAATCTGTATAAACATTTTAAAGAAAACTAAAATATTCAAAGATGTTGCTTCTTAGTTGGTAAAAAATGCTTTATATGTTCTTTAAAAAATTGTTCTGTTCAAAACGCCAAGCATTCTATGTTCCAAACTGGTACATATGCTTTCAATATGTATATAATTTCCATCATCTGATCAAAAATTTCTTCTGATTGCCCATTTCATTTTAAATTTTGCTATCTTGCTTACCTAAATTCAGACCTTGACAGGTAAATTAGAAAGGTAAAGACCAATAGAAGTGTTTAATTAAATACTATGGAAAGAGAGGATTCATGTTCCCCAATTGCAATTAAATTTCAGATCCTTGCTATAAGTTTCGCCATGTTCCCAACTTGTAAATATGCAAAACAGAGCTTTAAAAGTAGTTGCACAAGAGAGGTGCATGCCCATCAGAATTTCAAGCTGTCAAACCGTCACTCAGTACTTCACCATCGTGAAGTTATTTTAATAGCATACTAAGCATAAGTGCCAAAGGGATCCACATTCAATGGGATAAGAGCTTATGATTTATATTTAATTTACTCTTTTAAGAGAATTTCCATAGTACTGCCAAAAATCAACAGAGAATTTGCATTGTAGATAACACAATTTTTTAGCTTATTATATGCCAAGAAATTTTCCAAAGACTTCTTTCAAATGTAGTATTATTAAGGGCGAAATCATTAAACAAAAGTTAATACAACTATGATTTCAGATAGCTATTCATTAAGCATAGAAACTCTGTGGCTCTCGGTCTGGTAAGACACTGAGTCACAAATTCAAAATTATGGGGCATTGTGTAAATTCCATGCATAACCTATTATAGCAATTTGTACATAATAAGTGGACTGCTTATCCAGTGCTTAATGTTTATAAACATTTTGCAGAGACAGAGACAGAGAGAGAGAGAGAGAGAGAACCTGCTCTGTGTCAGAAAAATGTTTAAGACTTTATGTTTCTCTAGGAGCCTAGAATCTTTCAGGGATAAAAGGAAAAAGATCAGGATCACTGAAGTATAATGACAAAGGCATAAAAATAGTGTAGCTATTTAAACTTAAATTAATTAAAATGACATGAAGTGAAAAATTAAATGTCTCAGTTACATTCATCATATCCTAAATGCTCAGTAGCTATATGTAGCTATTGATTATCCTATTGAACCTAGCAGAGGAAATTTTCTTTCACTGTAGGATATTGTAATAAACAGAGCTGCATAGAATTTTTTAAGAAAATTATAGCAATCATTAAATTCCACTTTCTACTTATAATTATTAAAGGAAATCATTTTCTTGACTTAAACCTGATTAATTGAAAAGTAGTTCAATAAAAAGGTAAAAGACATGACTTTATTTAGCTTGGGTTTTCACTAAGGCACATTTTTGGGGATGGGTAGTGGGACTGGAGTTTGAACTTAGGGCTTCATGCTTGCAAAACAGATGCTTTACAGCTTGAGCCACAACTCTAGTCCATATTGCTCTGGTTGTTTGGAGATAGTGTCCTAGGAACTATTTTCCCCAGCTGGCCTCAAACCATGATCCTCCTAATCTTAGCCTCCCAAGTAGACAGGATTACAGATGTGAGCCACTGGAGCCCACATTTTTTAAATGTACTGTGACTATTCAAGACTCTGAATCATTGTATTCAAGAAATTTTCAGTGGTTAAAAAAGTCAAGCCTGGTGGCCTATGTCTGTAACCCCAGAATTTATTTAGGAGGTGACACAGGACAATCTCAAGGCTTTGAAGCCTGCCTGGGCTACAAAGCAAGATGATCCTGTGTCTGATTTTTAAAAAAAAAAAAACTCCCAACAAAGAGAGAAAACTAAAGCTCGAATTATTTTATTCTGTATAATTATATTGTGATCTCACTTATATTAAAGACAAATATACATCAGATATATAATTTATTTCACTACAAGCAATAGGCAGTTACGAAATAGGGATGAGGTGTGACAAATGAGATTGGAGAGTAATAAATTTGTTTGCAGAAAGTGTGATAATCTCAGTACCACTTGCTCTTTGGTCTGTATTGTGCCCTCCCAAAAAGGAGTATTAAGGCTTTCTGTCAGTTAATTCTGCAACAGACACTCCAGGACATTGTTTAGAAGTTTAAAGTGATTTTTTTTTTATTTCTCTGCTTTCTTTTTCATTTGATTTTGATCTATCTCTAATCAAAATTCTCAAACTTTCTGCATTCCTCATCCTTTCCGTGATCTTTGTTTCTACTGCTTCCCAATTTCAAAGTTCCTGGGTCAGATATTTACATTCTTTGTCCTTTCTCATTTGTTTTCCAAACCCTCAGGGCCCCATTTCACATTGAACACTTATGTGTTGCTTGGCCTGGTTTTTGCCACACCTGCTGTATCTCCTGAAGTCTAGTGTAAGATAAGAAGATCTAGAATAACAAGAAGAGCCCAAAAAGTTAAGAAATAAAAAAAGAAAAGAAACAAAGTTAAGATATCTGGGGCTGCTAAAAGTCTAGCTGGGAATAAGGCTATGTGTGTGGGGGAGGGTCTCCAACACACATAGGCAACACACGCACACACACACACACCCTTCACCATGTATTACCATAGTGACTTTTATAGTTCCTAACCATAATTACGTTCATGCTGAGTATTCTTGACCTGAATAAGCTCAAGTACAAATTTAGCATTGCTAAACTTCTATCGTACTGACTGAAATCTCTTGTGCTCACTGAAATCACGATCTGTATGTGATCTGACCATGTCCAAAGGGGGAGACCACCTGCTCAACCCTTCCTCCATGGACTGTAGCTTCCTCTGGTATCTATCAGAAAATCTAACATCTATACCTGGATTAAACAACACAACCAAGGAGCAGAGTGTAACTACGTCATTCCAAGCCACACTCCATAGTGACTTGTTTCAAATTATGTTTTGCCATGAGTTTATCTCCTTTCTTTGTTGACTCTATGTAAATTATAAGACACAGCCTTTCAAAACTCTTTGAAAGAATTTCATAGTTACTATTGAACCATGCTCACCCTCTTGCAGTATTTCTCACTGAGTTTCTCACAAATTTCTCTCATTGGTTAGAGCAGACTTACACAGTTGCTATTATATTCCCAGTTTTGAGAACTGTAATTAGCAGTATAGGGAAGGAATACATGTGTATGAAACCAGAGATAGACTGGTATCATTGTGCACATTCACAGCAGAAGTCTCAGAACTACTGTTTTCCTTTTTACTTCCTTGATTCTGAGCAACTTAAGTTCCTCCCTACATGGGCTTCTGGAAAACCTAGACTCAAATGTATTTCCTGGTCCTAATAAACTTTATTTTGAGAACCAAACATCTCTTGTTGCATCTCTCTTTGTCCTGATTTCTTCACTCACATTAAAAAAAAGTTTTATGAATTATTTTTAATTGAAGGAACATTAAAATAATTGCAAAACAAGCTGGAGAATTAAAAAGAAATGAAATATAAATTTATAAACTAATATTGAAAACTGTTTCATATTATCAATCTTCCTGTATTTCATTGCAAAATCCTAAAAGGAAACTGCTATGTTTTTGTACAGTAACTCAAATACGAAGACTCAGGAAATATTAATACCCCATTAATCCCCGTCATAGTTTATATTTCCTAGTTAATTGTTAACAGTAACCACATTTCAACATCAATAAGAAATAGAAGCTTCTGGTGTCCACGTGTTCTTTCTTTGTCCTACCTCTTATTTCAAGGAAATGTACCAAGTTTCCACCAGTGGCTGAAGTGACTTTTGAAGCTGGAAAATTAAAGTCCACATCTTGAACAATGATAAGATTCAGGAACAACTGTGCATGTTGGTACCATGTGTTGGCCATACAAAAAGTACAAGGGTAATTCATGAAAAAATGATGCTAAAATTGTGCTATTAGAAAAGGCGACTCAGAAGAAAGCTTAGACTCCTTTAAAGTCCTTTCAAAAAAAAATCCTGCCTGATATGATTGTGAGGGGGGAAAAATCACATAATTTCATATAATGAAGGCTTTAATCATATCAAAGTGCCCAACTTGGGTTATCTCACTGCTTTCCTTTATCATTTTATAATGAATAACATTTGTTCCATGAAAACAGCTATTATCAATATGTTCCAAACTAGAGGATCAGCTACATTCTCTGATTACACAAGAAGAAAAGAATATTTGGATTGTTTGCTTATTCATTCTGTAACTTCATGAAAGAAAGAAGCACATGTTACCCACCAACATACAAAGGTCATATTTTTACTCTGAGAAAAAAATCTTTTTCTATAGAACATTAGCTGTGGTGATCTCTCACTATAAATAGTCCCCCTCTGGCAGTCTTTTACCACTTCCTAAGCTGGAAAGTATTATAAAGTAATCCATATAGATATCCCCAACTCAAAGACTACTAAAATTCAAACACATACAGACAAAAGGGAATCACGCATACTTCTGTCAGTCTATAATGGCTCTTTGAAGCATTGTTACTTTACACAACGACAAGGCAAAGCATTAAGATGGTAATGGAAGCCTTTAGAGATTGAAGCCTTGGTTCAGAAGTAAACCAGCAAGTATCTAAACTGTCTATAACAATGTATTCACTGCGAGACACCTCCCACAGTGATGCTGCACATTTAAACAAAAATAAAGCAAAATGTCCTACAGTGAAAAAGATGATAAATTGAAAATCAATCCCAATAGCCACAAATTTATGACTATCAGCAAGCCTACAATGATAGGAAAAGTAAAACATTTTCAAAAAGAAAAATATATATATGTTTTTTCAGTGACACGCAACAAGTTCTAGGAATGTCTATCGGCATTTAATGGTTGCTTCTAAGTATATGTAAATCAGGCAGCATTAACACACTTTATTTGCATTCAATGTCTTTATATATATCAGTGTATGACCTTGAATTAAAGCTCAATTAGCTTGTAAAGTACTAGCAAGTGCTTCTGGGGATCCTTTAAAATAATCTATATCTTTCTTTCTATCACATAGGGTTTAATTAAAACAAAGAAAAGGTGCGAGCTTTTAGAGGGCATTTGGATGAGGTTGACATGGAGACAAGCATTTTTTTTTTTTACATTTGTTTTCATGCTTATTCCTACAAAGAAACAAGGGAACAAAACAAAGAAAATTTATAAAAGAGGGCAGCCTATTAGGAACTCTGGGCACTTCCACTCAGACTTAAACCAAGCTGAAAATATAATTAGATTTATACCTCTGAATGATATGTAATTTATCATCAGGAATAGCTGAGTAAACTGCTATAACCCTATTTATAGGCAATGAATTTCCTGTGCTGCAGTATTGATCTCTTCACTGTTTTCTGATAAGTAAAGGCAAAAAAAGTGAACTGAAATCCCAACATCTAGAGGCATGTTGGAATTTTCAAAAGGATTGAAAACCAGGCAAGCTGAACAAACATCTTATTAGGTCCTAGTTTTATGAAGAGTAAATAACGTATGTTTAGTGAATTTCTCCTCTGTGCCAAATACTTTTCTAGGATCTTTGTTCAGTCACATTTTAATCTTCACAACTGCGTGAAGAAGTTACACTAGCTGGGCACTGTGGTGCACACCTGGGGTCCCAACTATTTGCCATTCAGGAGATAGTGGTAGGAAGATCTCATTCCCAAGCCAGTGCTTTTCTAGCAATTATGAGGCTCTGAGTTCAATTCTCAGTACCACAAAAAAGAAGGCACACTAATAGTTATGTTCGCACTATAGAAACCAAGTTTCAAAGGCAATATACAATTTGGTATATTTGTATCATAATTGGAAAGTGGCAAAACTGAAATTTGAATCTGTGCCAAATCCAAAGCCCTGTGTTCTTCATTATGCTGCTGAAATGGAATGAATATTTAACTTCCTGCTGTCTGTTTTCATGGAATCAGATAACCAAATGAAAAACACAATTTCAGTAAATGTATTTATTTTTACTGTATATATTTATAATTTTTCATTCTTTCATTGTCTTTTCAACAAGCACTTATTTGATTGATTTTATTTTATTCAGCATTAGTTGGACAAAATGCCAATTAAGTTAATGCAACCATAGGACTAGGCAACTGAAAGAACAATATGAAGACAACATAAAACAACTGAAATCTTCTTTAATAGCTCCCCCCCTTAAAGAATGGTATAGGTTATGTTTTGCAAATGCTCTTTTGGAACGATGTGACATTTCATGCAGAAATGGTAAATATAAATCTCTTAATTCCTCATGCAAATGGTATTAAAACATGGTAGGCATTTACTAACACAGTAACCTAAGCTCAATCATTATTAAACATGAAATGGCCAATAGAAATTCGGAAGAGTTGGTTACCTGACATGGAGCAGAGGCTGTGAGCAATTTGGTAAGAACAGGACTTCCAAGCCTGGCCATCCCAGGGGACTTACGTGCCCAGAAAGAAATAAATGATCCTGCAAAAACAAATGCACAGTCGTAGGGACACCCATTCTAGTGAACATTTACAACTTCTCTGCTGTATCCTTGCATGTGTTTCAACTGTAAATCAGATAAAGAAATTTGCATTTTCACTGATTTGCCATTAAGCTTTGTAGATAATCAAAAGCATTTCACGTGTATGACATTAAATATCTAAACTAAAATTCAATTGATTAAAAACACCAAAACAAACATTGTTATGGCCTTCGCTCATGTCACGGAGTTTGAAACCAAATGAAGTGAGGTTTCTAAGCTTATAATTAGCTATTCAACGTGCCCTTTGGAAATTCTCATGAGAGTTTTATTTTTAAGTTTATTCACAAAATACTGAAGAATCAGAGACTATGCAATGAGTTTGGTTCCTCCCGGGGCTTACGTGTTTGACATTGTTGTCTGTGCTGGAGGGGATGAAAGCTTAATTAAAGATTTAATCTGAACCTTAACAAAATAACTGCTTTTAGATTTTAACCACAGTGGATGTGCCCATGGCGAATGTACAGGGGGATAACATCTCCTAGCAGTGCCGAAGATCACACGTTCTGAGCTTCACTGAATATTGAAAACTTACAAGGAAGGCTATGCCAGACAATGTCAAGGTCTGATCCTGCCCATTGATAATTACTAAGTGACAGGAAACTTGGAAAGCCAACTATTCTGACAGAAAAATGCAACATTCAGACAGGAATTTTCCTGGATGCATGTCTGACTACACAAAAAAGTAAGGATTTCATTATCAAAATATATTATTTTATAGACTCCTTCAACCAAACAACCAAGGATAAAAGTATTCACATCTGTCTCCACCACACTTTTGGCAAGGCATGCATCCCCTTTAATGCAATGACCTGGAAGTTATAGCTTACTTGTTCTGAGGACGTTAAAAAACAGTATTTTAACAGATGCAAAAGTCATCGACAAACATTAACATAGAGAAATGAAGAAATAAATAATAAATGAAAAAAATAAATCCAACCCAATGAAGTTTGCTTCAGTCATGACTACAGTAGTCTAGTATTGAAAAAAATGTTTTTATTATAAACAACAAAAAAGGTAACGGTGATCATATGATTATTATAATAGAAGATGAATAAAGCATTTGACAGATCTTAACCTACTTTCATTATTGTTTTAAAAATGTAGTACACTATGAGTAGAAGCAAACATTCTTATCTGATAGAGACAACTGTTTTTCACAAACATAGCACTTAAGGTTGAATTATTGACAGCATGTCCCCTGAGATAAGAACAAGACAGGTCTAGCATCTATCATTAGTTGTATTCAACAATTTCCCAGAGGTCCTATCAATGCTTGACAAAAAACAGAAACACACAAACATGTGTACATGTGCATAAGGTTTAAGACTTAGAAAGTCTTAGAAATGGCCCAAACAATGTATGCACATGTGACTAAATGAATAAAAAATTTTAAAAAAACACTTAGAAAGAAAGAAAAAATAATCAAAATAATAGAACATAGAAAATAAAAAATATGGACTTTTAGCTATAACAAATATGATTACCAAGCCATTGGATTTGAGGTCAATATTTTTTAAAAATAATTGATTTTGCTATCTACCAGCAGCAACTAAAACTGTTTTTTAAAAGTGGCATTCATATTAGCTGCAAAAACCTAGGAAAAATACTAGAAAAAGAATTTGAAACCTCTAGATTGAAACCTGCAAATTATCATTTAGTGACACTAAACGACATCTAGATAAACTGAGAAATTAGAATCATTTAAGAAGATTATTTTTGATGAGATATAAGGCTACTGGAGAAATCACATATACCCATAAACTGAAAAATTTTTAAGAGAATATAAGTGCTTCTTGCTGGCAGAAAAATAAGAAAAAGTGCCCCTATTTTGCTACTGGAAATTGAAGTATTAAAGATCAAGGTAGTAATTGCAAGTATTTATTAAACACATAATATATATCTTGCTTTAAAATACAAGGGTCTCCCTCATAGTTACCTGTTGCATAAAATTAAAAACACCCTTTAAAAGGAAACAGTGAAGAATGAATTTTGTAGCTTCATCATGATATTCATGTCACTGGACAGAGGTTAGCTAGATACACTATGTCATATCCAGATTAAATAAATTAAGCAAACAAACAGCCAGAATGAGGCTGATTCTACCTCCAGAGTAAATTACCAGATCAGATTTAATCTCCTCACCAAATGACAGTAGTTTTCAAATGTGAGATACTGGAAATGTAGGAGCAGAGGCCAGTGATTTCAAAGGGGAAATGAGTGAGGGAAGCCATAGTTTTCCCTGCTTACAGACTGGACTTTCCTGGCTGCCAAATGGGGCAGTAACATTTCCCTACTTTGACAATTTTTATACATGTGTCTAAAATCTCTCTGGTTGAAAAGATAGCATTGAAACATGGGGAGACTCTGTGACTGCAGCTTCTACAATAGAGTAGAGTTGCCTCTTTCAGGTACTCCAACTGTCTCTTTACAGATGCAAAGGAAGCAACCTTCAGGGATCTGTAGAGGGAACCCCCCCCAATTAGTCACCACCTGGGTACTGACCAGTGAGAAAAAACTACCTGAGGCTGGGGAATAAACACCTGAAAGGGGAGCTGGACCACTTCCCAATGGGACAGGAATAACATAGGAACTAGATAGAGGACTCAAGAAAAACAAACACCTGTGTCATGGAAAAAACACATGTATAAAAATTTTTAATTTAGAAGGTAACACACATGCACAGGACGTCAATGCGAGTCAACTCCCTGTATAGCTATCCCTATCTCAACTAGCAAAAACACTTATTCCTTCCTATTATTGCTTATACTCTCTCCTCAACAAAATTAGAAATAAGGGCAAAATAGTTTCTGTCGGGTAGCGAGGGGGTGGGGGGAAGAGGGAGGGGATAGGGGGAAGGGGGAAGAAATGACCCAAACATTGTATGCACATATGAATAAAATAAAAAAAAAAATCAGGTCCAGAGAGAAATAAAATGAATGAATGAGTTTTATGTGTTACTTCACCTACATCATTTTGTTTTCGTATACCCACATTTTCTTTCCTTGTATTGAATACTTAAGACTGTCATTTCTTTTAACCTTATTGACTATGTTATGCAGTACTTGTTTTCCTTATTTAATAAAAATGGAAATTAAAGCTGAAAAAATTTTTTACAATATTATTATTCCTAGTCACCAGCATTTGGAAACAACCCAAAAGACCTACAGCTGATGAGTAGATAAATGAACTGTTGTTCAGCCATACAAAGGAATACTACTCAACCGTTAAAAAAAAATACTCATGTCCCATCATGCACCTCTCTAAACAAGAACTACTAAACCTCTACTGTATTCTTTCTGGATATTTTCTCTAATTAGACCGTGTTCTGTGTCATCCCCCACTAGGTTCTGCCACCTTCGCCTCATTCCTTGCTGCTGCTTTCCTGGTTACTTTGCTATTCAGTGGTCCATTCAGAAGTTATCTCCTTCAGTTAAGCATCTCAAGTATATTTTAATCATTCTCCATTCCCACTGAAGCATGGATCATATCCTATTGCAATTATATGCTTATCTGCTTCAGCTACCAGAGTCAGACCACTTGAAAGGCAGTGACTATAACTCCTATTACCATACGCCCAGGTCTACTATATGCTATGCACTCTGCAATTAGTTTGAACAAAGAAAAAGAAACAAAATGATATATGAGCTTCGAGAAAATGTACTATTAACATATAGTTCCAATTATTACTATTCTCCTTTCTATTTTAAACTTTAAATCTAAGCCACTCCACCACAAAATCTTAAAGAAACAGTAAGGCTCATTGGCCCAAGAAGCAAAACTTAAGGACTTACTGCACCATTAAATAATGGACTAGGTTTTTAATTGTAGTCAACAGATAGATGGTTAAAGTCTCCCTCCCTAATCTCTCACCATCATTCACCAACCCCAATTTCCAATGATTGCAATTAAAACTATGGCCAACATCCATTTTTGGAATGCTTATTTGGAAGTCTCAAAGGAGAAATAAATAGAGTAATGCTCAAAGACTTTCAAAGATCAAAAGTTCAAATGTGTGATTACAAAGCTAATGTGACATTGAAGTATATGAGCAATATCATACAATGTTGTATAAAAAGTAAACAAAAAAGTCTTTCTGTTTTTCCTGACATTTCACATAGCTATTTTGGAATGCTATGTGTAGTTATGGTTCCTTCATTTTCAGAGGATGTGTAAAATTTTTAATGGCAGTTCAAAATACAGATGGGGAAAAGTACAATTGTTTGTTATAAAGAACTGTAAGGCATTTGCAATTTGTTTTATAAATAGGGCCAAATCTCTTTTCTCTGTTCCCAGAAAGATTACACTATTTTTCTTTCTGTTTTGCAAAAATTGGATTGCTCAAAAAAGAAGGCAAACCTACTACATGATTTATCTGAAAAGTTCTTTCCCTCTCTGTGCTTTTACTTCAACTATTTTAAATGCAACAAAAAGTACTTGTTATTAAAATAATACTCCTTTCAGGAAACTTAATTACCTACCAATTATTAAGTTCACTGGGAGAGCTTAAAGCAAAACAAGCTAGAGTTCCATTTACAGAGTCTATAGATAAAAGTGAAAATACACAGTATAATTACTCTGTAACATAAGAAAACTTAAAAAAAAAAAAGAGGAAAATGTCCTACCATTATCTGTGTTTGTTGTATGATCAGCATTGGGAAAAGGCACATCTCCATTATTCAGACCTTTCACCAGCTCCCAGTGTGAATCTTCTCTGAGAAATGGCTCCCAGCCGCAGAAACCAGACTCAAAGTCACAGGTGAGATAATTTGCTGTTATATGTGGACAAGACAACAAGTAAGGAAAAACGAAGTTGGTATGCACTGGAACATTGACTACTTTAACCAACAAACCTAGGAGGTGGGCATTATCACTTTGCTTTGTAGTAGATGCTTTCTGATGATCGGAATAGCTTCCTTTTTTCAGCCTCACACATCTCCCATGTTCTCTGACAAACATGGCTCCTCTTCGAGCCCCTATAGACAAGTTTGGCATATTTCATCCTAATTGAGCATCTCCATTGTATTTAATTATGCCAGTTGAAATGACAAAGCTTTGCAGGGAGTTAATTCACCTGCCAAGTATAAACCTTCTGAGATGGTAATTTAAAAAATAATTGAAAAAAGGGGATGTGAATTAATCCTAAAACCTTGAAGAACTTGAGGTCAGTATTACAACACTCATTTCACTATTCTATTTTTAACAGCTTTTCCAAATTAAATGCTTTGTTGTTTTGGAATTACAAGTAAATTAGATATTCTGAACTTTTTTTTTCTCTTAATACGTAACTAAAAAAAATCATCAAATAGTTAAATTCCTACATTTATCATGAAAGAACTAGTACTAGGGAAAGCCAAAGTTTAGGGTCAGCTTTATCAACACCTTTCTCAGCTTTGGTACCAAGTTAGTGAGGAAAAATAGCAGGTTTCACAGCACTGGATAGTAAACTAGAAATTCCAACAGCTTGATTTTGCTCTCAAGAAATTAATTCTCATTGCTTAAATTTCCTTTTCCTAAAATAACAGCAAGCCTCTTAGATACTAATTTGAGGAATGTTAATATAATTAATTATAAAATTAAGTTCCAAAAAATTCTCTTTATGTAGAAGTATTTTTACAATACCAGGAGAAGGGAGGGGAATTATCATTTATCCAAAACTCCCAACTTTAACAAGCTCCCTAAGATCATGCTGTCATCTTTAGTAGCAATAGACATTTACCACTGAGTTTCAAGTACATCCTGGGAGTTTTACATACACTAACCTGAGTACCCTGTATGGTAAATGCCATTATCCCCAAAAGAGAAAAGTGGAGCTCAGAGTACTGAGCAACTTGCTGGAGGTAAATTTTAGCAAATGGTACATCTAGATTTTAAACCTGAGACTCTTAACACCAGAACTTAAACTGTAAAGCCTCCATAAACCAAGAATTGTGACTCATAATTGCAAAGACCCCATTACTATGTGCTTCCTTCTTAGCTAACATTTTGAATAAGCTTATTACATCTTAATATCCAAAAACCTTCAAATCTCTGCAAATGTTTGGTTTCATGACCAGCTACCTCATCACTAATGTATCAACTTTTTCTTTCTGGCAGTACTGGGATTTGAGCTCAGGATCTCCCATTTCTAGATACTTGCTCCACCATTTGAGTCAAGCCCCTACACCTTTTTGCTTTACTTATTTCTCAAATAGTGTCTCGCATTTTTGCTCAGGTTTGCCTGGACCTTGATTATCCTATTTACATCTCCCCACACAGCTGAGACAACAGTCATCACCACCATACCTAGCTTATTGGTTGAGAAGGGGGACACAGCTAACTTTTTGCTCAGGGCTGGCCCCAAACTAAAGTCATCCAGATCTCCCACTCAGTAGCTGGGACTACAGATATGAGCCACTGCATCTGGTCTAACATACTAACTCTTAAAACAGAAGGGAAAAATGGAAATGACAATGTCACTTAAATTTATTCTACATGGAAATTAAACATTTAGGTCTCAAAGTCAGTCTTGTTTACAGAATCAGATGATGAGTACTTAAAAGATTTACTTTTCTTTATAAGCAAATACCATTTTCTCCTTAAAATAGACTTTCCCCCAAATATAAACAATTACATTGACTATAGTACAATAATAAATAAGTGCTACACATTACTTAATATGACAAGGAAATACAGTTTAACCATCTACCTAACTGAAAATTCATTGCTTCTGGATGTGGTTTTCTTTCCTAAGCTCTAGCTGCAGAGTTTATAGTTTATGGCTATTTAAAAAAAGTTAATCTTCAAAGAGGAGTCTCTTCTGTTTTTTGTCACAGGCATAGCACATATAAATTATCTGTGACTGTGTTCTCTGGCACCAGAGAAAATTTCTGGTCTAGTTCCTCAGTTTTCTGTGAGCTTTGCCACTGTCTAGGCTACCTCATGGTTTCTGTAAGTGGGTTGGTGGAGTAGAGAAATATTTAACACTTCAAATACAGACCTGATCTCCAAAATTGCTTTAGGATTCCAAATTCTTGACTGTGAACTTCCCAAGGAACCCTTCCTCTTATCCCCAAGGACAGCCCCAATTCTTAGGGACACACTTCCTCTACAGAGAAACCATCCATTGGTAGGATAAGCCCATATCTGACTTGACCCAGGATTTCTTCCGTTTCTGTCTGTTGCTCTAGCATAAAAATGCATACCTCAACTTTTCCTCTCACTTTCATTAATTGGGTCATAAATTCAACATTTCTATGTTGGAGAAATAAATTACATATTGCTATACAAAAGAAGCAAGTCCATACAGACAACACTATGACTGACAGCAGTGGCTGCTGTAGACCTTCTAACGCCCCAGTGAGGCCATGGTGTGAAATGGCAATATGACAATGAGTGAAAACTGGAAAGTACCACATGATCAATGCATTACCAAACCCTTGGATGCCTTCTTCACAACTGAACTGTGTCATTCAGCTGCAAAGATGGAAAGAAGCATTGAAGATAAAAACACCATTGGATTATATAAATGTTGAAATCTGACTTTAGGAGAAAATTTCAATAATTTCTTTCATCATCCAGATGTTTTATCAGTTAAAATGTCAACTATTACACTTTCCACAGAACACTGAACATCTACTGTCCTTCAAAAAATAAAAATAAATTTTCAAAATTCATCACCATAAAATTTGTGAAAGCAATACGATATAATCACCTATGTAAAATCTTAGTGAGTTGCTCAGCAAATTTTACTGATGACATTGGTTCAGGTATACTTACAAAGATGTTTTGCTCAAAAAACTAAATATTCTAGAACTTAACTGTACACTCAAGCTAAATTCCAGTAGCCTAAGTTAAGTTGCATTCATTAATAGTATTTTTTCTACGTAATTCAAAGATTTAAGGTAAAAGTAAGAAATATCTGAAGAAAGTCAGAAAGATCAAATGCAAATTGGCAATTATGCAATGCCTTGTCATACTAAGTATGCTAAACATTTATAAAACCAAAAAATTCTATAAAGTGCATTAGTTATATACAGGCTTTTTGGTTATTTGGTCACTTTTCTTTTAACTTTCTGAAATTATACAATACAATTTACTACCTCTAAATGAAGTCTATGGTATTGTTCAGTTTCAGAGAAATTTCTCACAGAGTTCATCAGTTAGAGCAATATTTTCAGATTATAACAAAGCTTTCTTTTGCATATTTAACCATGATAGCATATGGGCACAAGAAAAAGAATTTCATTGTGGCAGCTGAGGAAAACTCTGGATCATAAAAATTACAATATTTATGAACACTTCAGTTCAGTTCTGCATGATATAAGAGCAAAGCTGCATATGGGAAGTAGCTGGGGAACATCTCATTTAGTGAACATATGTTAGGTTTTAATAAGATCATATTAAAATTATTTTCTTAATAATTATTGGAAAGCCACAGGATCATTGCTACACTAGACATATAGATAAATGTGGTTATTTTCCCTTCCCCTCAGGAAGTATTTTAGTATCCAACAATTTTTAATATGAAAGAGCTCTAGAGACAGTATTATAGAAAATATTAAAGGTACTACACAAGAATCTTGCTTTACACTTTTTTTGACATGAATCTTATGTCAACTTTCTTTGTGACATCTTACAATTCATATTAGCATTTTATTTTATCTTTTATCTTATTACAGTTTATTGATTGAGACAGAGTCTCATTATGAAGCCCAGGCTGGCCTAGACCTCACCATAGTCCTGCCTCAACCTCCTGAGTGCTGGGATTACTGTCTGGTATATTAGCATTTTAAGTTATCTAAAAAAAGAAAGAAAAAACTCTATAATTAAAAGCAATAGCAAAACCTTTTTTCCCCCTCACAGAAAATCCCAAATTATTTTGGTTTCAACACAGATCTGCCCATTCTTCCATCTTTTTTGGAATACACTGGAAAAGATTTTAGCTTATCAGTATGTCATTATTAAAAATTATATATATATATATATATATTTTGTTGTGGGAAAATATTCATGATGAAAATCTACTTTAATAATATTGAAGTGTGAAGCTCTGCATCATTAAATATATTCCCACTGTTCACTACCACTCCATTTCCAGAACTTTCCATCTTCTCAAACTCCATTCCCATTTAACAGGAACTTCATGATCACCTCCCCTCAGCAATATGACTACTATTCTATTTTCTCTCTTACAATTTTAACTATTTGGGAACTTTCTGACTTATTTCACTCACACAATGTAGTAACATGTGTAAAAATTAGATATATTTAATGTTTAACTATCATCTGAAATATAGCTTTGGATATGTTTGGTACATGCCATATTTCAATTATTTTGATAGAAATATTTTAAATGTATTACATGCATTTTATTAATTTTTCCAAATTTATTAATGTATAATTGACAAAATCATATCTATTTAGGATGAATAATGTGAATATTTGATACATGTATATCTTGTGAAATGTTTAGAATAGTTAAGGTAGCTAAAGCCAGGCACCGGTGGCTCAGGCCTATTATCGTAGCTACTCAGGAGGCAGAGACCAGGAGAATTGAGTTTCAAAGCCAGCCCAGGCAAATGGTTCATGAGACCCTATCTAGAAAAACACATCACAGCATGAGAACACTTAAGATATACTTTGAAGCACGATACATCATCCTGTGTGTTAGAGCCTCATCTTATTACTGAAAGTTTGTACCTTTGACAAACATCTCCCCATTTTCCCCAGCCCTGAGCACCTTACAACTACCATTCTACTCTCTATGTATTTGGCTTTCTTAGATTGCACATGTATATATGATGCCCAGTGTTTGTCTTCCAATGTCTGACACATTTCACTTAGTGTGACATCCTCCAGGTTCATCCTTCTTGTTACACATGGCAGTATTCCCCTCTTTTCATTGTTGAAGGAAATTCATACAGACTCATTTTTTTAATTCATTCATCCATTGACAGAGACCGACGGTTATAACATCTTGGCTATTGTAACTAATGTTGCAATGAACCTTGTGTGCAGAAATGTTTGAATTTTCACCTTTCCTCTTTTATACAGAATAGTGTTAATTAATGTTAAAAATCTATTGTTTGGTAGCGTAGTGATGCTCGAGTTATGTTTCTATTGCAAGAGCCCTCTAGCTAGTTTGTCTTTAGTTTTTAATGTCAATTTTTTTATATGCCATCTGTTTCCTCCCTCAGCTGTCTACATTTTCAAAATCTCCTTGGCACAGTGGTTCTCAAAGTTTAAGATGCAGCTGAATCACTTGGGATATTGTTACAGAGCAACTTTTGGTTTGCAAGGCTGGGCCAAGGCTTGAGGTGCTGCCTCTTTGAACTAGTTCCCAGTGGTGCTGCTGCTTAAATACATGGAATATAAGAGAGAGCAAAACACCACCATGTCCTATCAGCACTGAAAATCACATGCTTTTGAAGAGCCATTGGGTTACAGGCTCAGTAACTACACACAGTAAAATAGTACCTAAAGGTAAGAGCAACTTGGTAATGACAGAGCACCTGAGTGAAGTGCCATCTGGGAAAAGCGCACCACCTGTAGACTATCAACTGGTCATCTTCACAAGTTAAAATTTACCAAGTCTCCAGCATACAGTAAGTATTCTTGTGCTATTCAAACTTCATGTGCAAGCTGAATTTGATAAAGGCATTTTGCTTGTGCTCATGAACTTGGAAATTTTCTTTATAAAAACCTTTGTATTTCTAAATTCAAATTTATAAAACACAAATTTAAAAGTATTTCAAAGTGTTTTTAAATTTTAGGACAAGAGTACAGGTGAACCAATTTGGGTTATAATACATATATACATGGAAATGTCATAATGAAACATCATGTACAACTATCTTAAACAAACAAACATGCCATTAAAAAAAAAACAGAGAATGGGAAGGCAAATCAGGTCCTGTCTGGGGGTTGGAAACAAATGGGAAAGGGGAGAATATATGAAAAGGAGGTCTGGGGTGAATATGGTGGAAATATTTTGCACGTGTATATGAAAATAGAAAAACAAGACCTGTTGAAATTATTCCAGGAATGGGGGAAGGCAGACAAAGGAAAACAATGGAGAGTGTGAATTCAACTATGATAAATTTTAAGAAATTTTGTAAATATCACAATGTACCTCCAGTACAACAATAATAAAATAAACAGAATAAAGAAATCCCTCTCATTTTGTATGTGTGTGCATATACAGGATATGTGTGTCTCTGTGTGTCTGTGTGTAGGTGTCTTATAGGCACAATACATTAAATACTTTTGTTCAGAAAAAATTTAAATCTATATAAATTATTTCCCTAAGCCAAAAGCAATTATATAAATATTTATGTGAAATATTCATTTTGACATCAAGATATATGAATGCACATATATGTGTGTAAACATCTATGTATATATGTTCTATACCCTATAGCTATATTTTTATGTCATATCCCCTATATTAAGTTGATCTCAACCAAGCAAACATGGCAACTTTTCCTTCAAAAAGTGAAGTTACATTATTTGGAAAACTTAAAGTACTAGGAAATAGCACTATTTGTTAATAAACACAGATGTCTGTCCCTGTATTCACCCAATGGAAATAGCAGAATAATATTGAGACCTACGGTATTTAAAAAATGCCAGATAAGCCATCAATGAAATTCTAGTAAAGGAAGAAAATGGGGAAATATATCCAAAAGCAAGAGCTAATACAGCTGCTAATACTGTAAGTAGGAATTGGGTTATGAGAAGCTATGAAAAGGAGGGAAGCATAAAGAACGATTATTTACTACAGAGAAAAATATAGAAGAGAAGCAAGGCTTCCACATGCACAAGTGAAAAGAAATGTGTTTCCTTTAATTTACTGAAATTAGAAATAATAGAAGCTGCTAGAAAGATGAATTTCCCTGAAAGAAATAAACTAAAATGTCTGTAAACTTTTTAAATAAAGCTCAAAAAGGAATCTGACTCACATTAGAGATAAAAATTTCTCCTAGCTTTATTCTTTCTGAATGAAACAGGAGAGCCAGCTAAAAACTCCACTGAACTCACAGTCATTAGTAGGTCATCTGGCTTCACGCAGGTGTTTGAGGACTTATTGAATTGCTGTTTGTACTCAGGCCAGCAGGGGATTTCTTCCTTGTTTGCCTCTTCCCTTTTCCCAAGGTCCCTCTCCATTGCTCTTAATAAAACCCTCACTTGTCCATCAAGAGGAGCATGTTACACAAAGATCTTTTCATTAAAAGGTGACATTTATCTTATTGCAATATTTCCTGCTGCTCAACAAAATATCTCACTAAAGTAAAACATGGCAGAAGAATAAATGTCAAAATTTTAATGTTTTTTAAAAAGCTTCTTATTTGTAATATAGAAAATAGATTCATGTAGTTGGAATTCATAGTTGCTAAAAAAGACACCAGAATCTTAGTTGCTTAGCTACCTCCTATAAAAACCATAACATAGGTTGTAAGTTAAATTCCCATTTTCTTTGAAATATGACTAAGTTTGAATAGTAATGGAATCTCTTAACATCCCTCGTTATCAAAGACTCTTCTTAAGAGGCCCAAAAGAAGGATGTTGTGCCATTTTGTTCTCATGACTTCCAGTGATGCCCAGATCTCTACAGTCTTCATGGCTCTCCTGAAAACTGGCAGCTCTCTTCCTCCTTACACTCTCCACAAATTCCAAAACAATTCATTAGAGAGGGGAAAAAGCATATTTAACAAAGGTTTTCAAACCATAATATATGTCTCTTAAGGCTAAGGTCCCAAGAGATTCTCTCTCACATCCATTTTCCTCTTTAACAAAAGCACACACATTCTCACACCACACGCACACACACCATAATAAATCCATTTGTTGAGTAGATTTTTCAGTTTTGGCAACAAGCACCAAAAAATTAAATCAATGCAGAAACAATTAACAGAATAGTGGTAAGAGTTTCAGAGAAAGAAGGAACATTCATCTTATTTCTTAAATTACTTTTATCTTCATGGAAACAACACCTATTTTAAATCCATCAGTCACGAGTTACAGCAGGCAAAGAAGTGTACCATTAATTTACTCACAGGAAGTTTCTGGGTCTTCACCACTTCTATGGGAGCAGTCCTGTCCAGAGTCGCACTCCAATTCTTGGGCAATCCACTGGCCATTGGCACAAGTGACTTCATCTGCAGAGCAAAGTTTTCTGGAGTGGGTCTGTTCACAGGCATAAATCCACAGGTGATCGAGCCCAATAAAACTTCTCTGGCTCAAAATAACACCTTCAAAAACAATCTTTAGAAAAGAGATCAATTTATAAACTTAACTCTTTTAAAAGACAGAAAACTAACAAAGGAGAATAGAGATTAATGAGTCATTGAGAAAAAAAAATTGAGAAAAACACCAACACCTGTGTAAAGAGCGGCCAAAAGCAATTACTAACAAAGTTCGTATTTGATCAGTTCAACCCACACTCTTAAGATGGATGAACACATTTGCTTCATTAAGGCCTCTGAGAATCCATCCAGGATCAGAGAAAATCACTTAACCATCCAAATGCCTCTGACTGCAAATCTACTGTCTGTGCATTATCTTCACAGTTCTCTTTCTTTCATTTTCAAGGAAAAGGAAAAGAATTGTTATTACCTACAGAACAAGAGTTGTAACTGTGATTTTAATTATTAAAATTAGTATTTGAATGCATGAAGGGAAATATGCAAATAGAATGGGGGTATAATATAAGAGCAAAAATGTAAGAGAATAAATACAAAAATCAATTAAATTTGCAGAAAAGAATGATTTCTCTAATAAGGAAAGAAATTCAAACTCAAGGAAATACATTTCATTGTTCCAATTTAACTACTAGCTTTTCTGGAAATATGCAATATTCGCAAGTAAAACAACCTTGCATTGCCAGTCAACTGTAAGACAATGTCAAAGTGTTAGTATTCCTTGTGTTTCTACCAAGAATAATGGTAAATAAACAGCAAGAACACAGAAATATAAATAACTGACTGTACAGCAAATAACATCTTGCTGTCCAATTTAGTAGCTACTAGCTACATGTGATGACTTCAATTTAAATGAATTAAAATTCAGTTTCCTAATTACATTAGTGCCATTTCAAGTATCCAATACAACAATTTAGTTAGTAGCTACCATATTGGACACCACAGATAGGGAAATTTTCTGTTATTGCAGAATGTTCAGTTGGCCAGCACCAAGCTACATTTTAAAATTCGAACAAGATACTAGGAAAATAATTGACTCCGTTCAATCTCATTCACCTTAATGTTTCTGAATAGATTTTCATCTTTTTAAAAGATAAAAGATAACTGTTTGTTCAGTTAAGAATTACTTTAGATCAAGTTTCAGTTTGCAGATAAGTCTAAACATTGACTTTAGAAGATAATATTAACTTTAAGTCCAAAGAATAACTAAAGCAAAAAGGGTCTTGGGGTGTGGCTCGAGTGGTCTCAGAGTCCCCACCTAGCAAGCACAAAGCTCTGAGCTGAAACTCCAGCACTGCCAAACCAAAATAAAAATAACATAAATTAAATTTCTTTATATCTAATCATAAGTAAACATTAGTATGCTGCTATATACTTTCCCCAAAATCAATAACACACACACACACACATATAAATTATTGGTCCAATAACTCCACATTTTCATAGCAGAGGGAAATCAGACATACAATAATCATACCACTTAGGTTTGAAAAACTGATGAATTTAAACATAGATCGCAAAAGTCTTCCATTACTGAAAGTCTGATTATATTTCACATACAATTAGAAACCTATTATAACTCCCAAATGTATTCTCTTTACATTTTACTGTGTTTTATCTTTGGGTCAAATAACAAGACAAACTTTAACTCTTGGTTCATGGAAAAATAAAGAAACTTATTGAATATATCTTTCAGAAATTACAAAGATAAATATTAGCTTATAAAATGTTAAAGTAATGTCAAAATGTTAACTCAATAAGATGGTTATAAACCTCAACTTTAAGCACACTACAAAAAAGCTACAATGCTATGGTTCAAAAATTCCAAGTTCATAGTATCTGAGATTCTAAAAGTCTACATGCTTTCAAACATTTGCATGTGCTTCCCTAGTCTTAGATACCATTTTACTATTCATCTGCTTGATGATGCAACATGCTTCCTAAGGTGCACGCGTGGACTTGGAAGGTGTAAGGGCAGGAATCATCCTATTCTTAAGCAAGTTTTGGTCAAGAGTAGAAGCACACTGGTTCCTCTTATTGGAAATTTGACCTGCTAAAGGCCAGATGTAATGAGAAGTATGTTGTTTCTTTTCTCAACTATACAAGTCTACCCTCCTAATTCAAATGCTAATTTAAACATAGCAGTGAATGATAAGTTCACTTTTTTAAATGCTAAACTTATGATAAAACTTGTTTATTTCCTTTTATACCTGAAATGTTTTCAGATCTTCTGGTATTAACACATCTGCTTTCACCCATTTTCTGTGAGTTGATGTATTGTATAGCCAAAATGTTTCTTCTTCCTTTGACTTGAAGAAAAAGACATTACTCATTCCTCAAATTCTACTCTCACATTTACATATTCCTCTTTTAATTACACTTAATAGGGATTTCCCAATCTATACACAATTAAGTACTAGGAAACCTAAAGTATCAGTCATAAGAATAAATAAGCAGGATGACATTTTTTATGAATATCAAAGAAATATTGTACATCTAGCTAGTACATCTGTTTTTAACTTTTAATTTTTATCAACATATATTAATAGTATATATATTATTGAGGTTCAATGTGATGTTTTCACAGATTCAAGAAGTATGCATTGATTATATCCAACTTCTCTTTTTCCATTTTTTTCATGGATCAAGTGTAGTAGGACAGAGCAAATATTTGAAAGGAATCTTAAAGATACAAAGTTCTGCATTTCAAAATTAAAATAATAAAAAGCTATGGATAATATTGGTGATTTAAATGCTGATCTGAATAACATAATTACATTTTGTAATATTTCCATGATGTTACAAAGAAATATCAAGCAAACATTTAATATAAAGGTAAAAAAATGTTAAAGGCATTTTCTGTACCATCTCAATATTACTTTTTTCCTATGAGAGAATTCATTCAAAGTTCTGCATAACAAAATTATTGTCTGGAAATTTTATTCCCATAGTTTGACTTTTCTAGTCATCTACCAAGACTTTTTTTTAATCTCTTCCATGGCATGCTATGTCTTACACCTTTCTAATGATCATTATTTTAGATAACAAAATATGTAAAATTATCATTTATACATTATGAGGTAAGATACTCAATAAAATCTATAATGTACTCCACAACTATGCTTATGATATTAGTCTTTATAAGAATGAAATAATACTACTTATTCCTTAGGTTTTAGCAAACATTCAAGTTAATTTGACATTTCCCTGGGAAAGGCCAAATTGTTCATAATATAGGATATGTTTATTTTTCGTCTATTGATATAGCAAAAACATGGAGAATGATATAAACATATCTCAGATTGAGCTCTGACTGGTCTTGTTTACCTTCTAGTGTGATATAGAAAACAACACAGGAAGGTGACATCTAGTTTTAATTCTAACAAGACTTGACATAAGTTTTTGCACTCTAAGCATTCACTCTAAGCTTCACTTCTTTCATCCATGCCCAAGATTTTTAAAAAATGAATCTATTTCCAGTTTAGTCCTGTACCCTCCAATATCTAGCCCAAATTTCCAAAGTCTTAAATATTCCAGGAGGCAGTCTAAATTCATTAAAATATACTTGATGCTATTATTCATTCATTATCAACTGTGAAAACTTCCACAAGTACACAAGGTGAACATGTTTTCAGCTGAGAGCTTCCATGTCATATCAGGATGAATTAGTCATAAAAAGTTGAGACATACAACAAAATTTTCTTCCAATATTTCCCACACAACTTCAGTCATTGAGCACATGGAAACTCAAGAAAAGGTAGACTAATGCTATTATTATCATTTTATAGGTTATTGGCATTCTCAAGAACATCTAGAGAATGTGATCTAGAATTGCAGTTCACTTAAGACTCTAAAGGAGTGAACTGTTTACTTAACAACTCTATTTACCAAGTTCTAGTGTCTGGAAGTAGCAAAAAAATAACCTTTAGCTTTCTCACTAAACTCATCTTGGTTTATCTGCACACACTTCCAAACATATTTAGATGCTCAGGGTAGAGGATGACATTCAACTTATGGAGGCTATAACTGATCTTTTTCATCAAGAGATAATTTTTTAGTGAAAGATTTGGAGTTCTTTCAAGTTTATGATAAAACATCAACTTGTAAATTAAATATACTTGGATGAGGATTTTTCACTAGTGACACCTCTGTCACACTGTGTGTGATGAGGATGGCAAACACAGTGTCAGAACACAGGCTTTATCAATGAGTCGAACATCAGTCGATGCTCTCTAAGTTGTACACCTAATTGGTTCTGTATATTATACTAGTTCAGCTCAGCAGGATTTATTATTTTTCTTACAATATGAAACATAAAGTCTTGGTAAATCTATTCTTATATGATGTAGTATCAAAGGCCATTAAAATTTTCACTCTGTTCATATATAGCTCTACAGGAATGATATAATCCATTTTCAGTATTTTGTAATATATTGATTGAAACTGTAAAAGTCCATCACTAATGTCCAGGCAAAGTTTAAAAGTCCTTAGGACAAGGACATATTTAATTGAAATTTGTGCATAAATTTAGATCAGTATCTTATTTGATATGTTAGTGAAAATTAATTGATTACTTGCCATGTGAAAAGAATGATCATAAGACTATATATGCTTAGAGTATCTTAAATAAAATTTAAGGGCTGGGGATGTAACTTGGTGGTAAAGTGCTTGTCCAAGCATGATACTCAGATTGTATATATAATATAAATATAACACATATAGAATTATTTATAACTTAAACTATATAAAATTTTTTCACTATGCCTTTGTCAAAGGAACATTAGAAATTACAAAAGGTCACAGATTATGTGGAATTTCATTGGGTTTGGTTTACCTGGCACAAGTGATAATAATTTAAAAAAATCACTGAGGCATGAATGGTACCACATATCTGAGTAAATCTTAACTTTTGTGTTTTCAGGGTTGGGTATTCATTTGCAATGAAATTGCTCACAAGTACATGTAAAGTTTGTGGTACTATAGAAGGGGTGGGGATGTTTTCTGCCCTCTCCCTTACCAAATTGAATGAAATATATCAAATATTTCGTTATGTCTCATCCTAATAATAAAGCTAGTTAACAAGGGTACCTATCCAACTTCATACTTTAGAACTCCCTGAGCACCACTAAAAAGAAGAGGTAAAAGGAAGACTAGACATTATTTAAAAATACCAAAAAAAAAAAAGAGAAGAAAATGATTGCTCCTGAATTCTCAAATATCCTTGTAAAAGGCATTCTGATACTTGAGGATTGATATGAAAAACATGAGAAGAGAACAAAGCAGAAGAAGATGCTATGATCAGGTTGTTAGTGGCACCAGGTGAGTCCAGATGATAAGTAAATTTTTGTTAAAAAATGAAGCAAGTTGCTGTCATGTGGGAGTTTCATCTGATTTCTAGAAAGCACACTGAGCCAAAGGAAACTCACATGGATGCTTTTTACTGTGCTTCTTCCAAAGTTAGAATTCCTACAACTATTGTCAAATAGTTCCCATTTGTACAATGATTGCTACCTACCCATGTGGCTCTTTTCTCCCATCTGTAAAAAAATTCTTCTCTACAACAGACAGTCTCAAAGAGCCTCATGCATAGTCTTACTTGTACAGGACTTTTTTCCGTTAAAGTTAGATCAACCTGAGTTTGTTTTATACACTAGCATAAACATCAGCAACTTTCACTAATTCTGGTGTGCCATTTGTTTCTTAATTCACTTAATTCATTTGTCTATATTTAATCAGCAATTTCTAGTTCTTTAAAATTGTACCTACTGGTACAAAAATAAATAATTTATTTCTATCATATTGTTACTTTTAATAATATGTAGATCTAAAATCCCAAACAGCTCACACCAGAGTTTCAATGCTGAACCTCAGATATCTCATTTTGATTAGACCTACAGTTTCTTAAATGTGCTTTCATCAATTTTAAAGATAATGTGAAATAATATTATACAAATTAACAGAATAACCTTTCCACATTATGGTACCTCCTGAAGTGACTTCTTAATGTTTCTTAAAAGGCAGATTTAGTCAAGTTAAAGGAAATCTAAAACCTGCACACAATGAAGAAATGGAAACACAAGAATAAAAATTTCAGTTATTTGATGAATTTAAAGTAATGCCAGTTTCTTCTTACCTTATTATTATACAGTCCTACTTTCAGAACACTGTTTTCCATAGAGTAATAGAATTGGAGACGGCAGTTTGTGCCCAAGCAGTGATACACAGAGCTGTTTAAGTAAGCCCTGCTGTCTAAATGGCTCAGAGTGAAAGTATAGTTGGCCCCAAACCACACATAGAAACCTGAAAAGCAGAGGAAAAAGAACAACTGAGGAAAACAATTAACCCCTTTCTGTTTGAACAAAATTATTTTGTTTGTGATGTTTCCAAAATCAGGCTTAAAACACATTCTATTTAAAAGGATGTGGTATTTATCAGTGACAAATGATAGGTTTTCAGTTCACATGTGATGTCTGAAGTATGCTAAATCTTTCCCAATTTTTCAAATCAGAATTTGATGACATCCTGAACATGGAAATTCACTATTGTTACAAAGTAAATCTTTGATATAAAAATTATTACACCATCAAATTATTAATATGTTTTAAATGCCACAATGTGCTTTCTCCTTTTGGTCATTTTTTTCTTCTTTTTATATAAAAATCTTTATAGTTTCAGAGAACACAATTTAAAATGCTCTGCCTCTTCCCCAACCACATGAAAGTAATAAATAACTACAGTCCTATTTAACTGTACCTGTGAATTTTGTAGTACACAGAATATTGTCAATACCTTTTTCCACCTGGTATTTAAAATCAAATTGGGCTCTTCTTGAATCAATAATATTGACAATACAGAGACACAAAAGAGTTCCTATGATTTATTTTTCAAAAATAAAGTCTGAAATGCTTCATTTCTTTCAAGTTAATAAATATTCCTGTAGTTTCTGAAAAATGCTAATTTAAATTAATGGAAATTCTTCTTTATTAGAAATGTTTGGCTTTAATCAAAATAGCACAGTAAGTTAATATTGTGCCTCTGATCTAAACCCAAAGAGATGATAAACAAAATAAAAATACATTTTGAAGAAAGTTTAGAGAGATCAAAACAATACAAAACATTTCAAAAGACAGAGAAACAGCAGAAATGCCACATGATACACAAAAGTAAAGCTACAGCACACCTGGACTTTGGGACCACAGAGGCTGTAGATTTTGACCAATTTAACTGTCACAAAAAGAATAAATGGACAGATTCAAACTCTCTTGATGAAGCTAAAGAACAGGGCTAAGAAACCCTGCTCATAAAACATTCACCACCTTGAACTATAGCCAAGCAACAGAGTGTGAAAAACTATAAGGATACCATGAAATATGAAACCCTAACCTAATATTCTCACACAGATAAGGTACTGGGGAGCTAAGCAATGCTACAACCAAGTCACTAAACAAGGATGAGTGGGAACAAAGAGAAAGAATAGGATAAACAGGAAAAAGAGAACAAATCTCATTGGAAAGAGCCTGCAAAATTTCCAGTTTCAGTACCACATGAAAGGAGCTTGGAATTTGTCACTTGTATCAATCTAACAAGAACAAAGCTGAGCTGAAAATCAACAACTCTTCACAAACCCATCAGTGAATTGTGGTCACTGTGCAATCTACCAGCCTGTAACTGAAGAGGCAAGCAGGCAAAGAGACTCAGAGAGCAGAAGCTCTCTGAGTTCAGGTCTCTGCAGGAACTAGTACCTGTGTAGAAAAATCCGCACTGAGCTCAGTATGGATGATTCAGTGTTAAAAACCCTAGGGCAACGTAACTTTAGGAAAAGATTTCACAGTTTCCTGAGATTTGCCTCCTGGAAACCTGTAATTTTCTCACAGGAAAATGTCACGCTTGCAACTGTGGGGAAGAGAATTAACCATATTGAAATATACCTGGATTATTCTGTTAGTCTTACCAAAGCCTTCAATCAAGAGAAACTGTTTAACCACAACCTTAATACCAAGGGCTTGACCAAAATCTAACTGATTTAGGAGAAGGGAAGTATCCAATCACAGTTAGTTCTAACCTTCTGCATGGGGGGAAGAATAAACCCATATTCAGTCCTCTCCAGTCTTCCTGTTTGTCCTCAGGGGGACAATGAAGATGCACTTTGAAGGACACAGAGCAGAGGTACAAGTTGCCTAGAAGATTTAGACCTAATCATAGGACTATGGCATGTTCCCCTAACCTCATAACTTCCCAGCACATCAACGAGGCATCTGTATATAACAGAAGAATACTATTGAAAGAGCTATATATCTCAGATCTCACTTAAGAAGAAGTCTCTAGGGCATCTAAAGACAGCAAAGAAGACAAAAACAAGAAAACAAAGAAGAATGTCAGACTCAGACATTTATGGCACAGTCAGTAGTAAACATATTCTGAAACCTAGCCAGATAAAGATAGCTGTTCCAACTATTTATTGTAACTGTTTTTATAGAGGGAATCATGTTTCATTTTTTTCTGTAAATTTGGCTTTTGACAAAAAATTTAAAAGGCACTCTTGAAAGAAAAGCAAGCATTGGAAGCAAAATAAGATACTGCAGATATACTGGAATGATCAGACCAGAAATTAAAATAACTATGAAAAGCTGTATTTAAAAAGTAGAGACAGATACTGTAAGCATAAAGATGGACAATTAAAGAATCTAAGGTAATGCTAGAGATCAAAAACACCATCAGAAATGCAGAATGTCTTGATGAGCTCATTCGTGGACTAGACTTACTTGAGGAAAGAATCTTTGAACTTGTAGACATGTTGATAGAACTTCCAAAATTGAAACACAAAAGAAAAATGGTAGAGTAACAAGAAAGAGATTATCCAAAAACTGTGGGAAAACTAAAGAAGGTGCAATGTATGGGCAATAGGCATATAACACAAAAAATGGAAATGATATTTGAAGCAGTAATAAGTGAATAATATCATACAATAAACCACAGATCCAGGAAATTCAGAAAACACCAAGCGGGATAAATACAAAAAACAAATGAGCAGTAAAAAAAAGCTACACAGACATACTATATTCAAACTGTTGAAAATCAAAGAAAAACGAAACATCTTGACAGAAGCCAGGGGGGAAAAAAATCTTATCTATAAAGGAACAAAATTAAAATTACATCTTAGAAGCCATGCAAAAGAAGTTAAATGAATATTTAGTGTTCACAGGTCAAAAACAAAACAGATGGATGGAAGGAAGGAATGAAGGGAGGGAGGATGGAGGCGAGGAGGCAAGGAAAGAGAAGGAGCAGGATAGCAATGACAAAAGGATGAGAAAGCATTAGAAATATTTTATATAAGGCACTTGTATCACGATAAAGAATTATATAAGTTAAATGGACACAATGTAGAGTAATCATAGTCAAAGAGAAAATTTATGTTTCAGAAAGCAGCACTGAAAATATAATTCAAAAGAGTAAATAATATAAAAAGTAAAAAAAGAGCAGTCAAGTTACAGAGTGTTCATTAAAGTCCCCCATTATATAAACCTACTAGGAACTTAAGAGGAAAAGAACAGAGGGAGTAAGAAATAACTGCTTGAATAAAATAACAGATAATTTTCACAAGTGATGAAATATATACATTCTGAGCATTTCAAGAATTAAATAAAAATATTTTCACTCTGTACTCATCACAGTGAAATTTTCAAACATCAAAGATAAAGTATTAAAGTCTACATTAAATTGAAAGATGATTAGTTAAACTCAGTTTTCTCAATTACAACAGTAACTATGAAAACAAAGAACAGTTATGTACTTAGAAATTAGAAAGTAAACAAATTTCATTCTAAAATTATCTGACCAGATAATTTTTATTTCTTATGAGTAAGGCCAAGTTAGCATTTTGTTTATAAACACTAAGGAAACATATTACAACAGATATTTTTCTAAATAAAATAACAATTCATTTTTTAAAAATATCAACCTTTGCAAGAAGGAAAGAGAACCAAAAGTAAAAGAGTAAAATTTAAAAGGCAATGATGAGGGAGCAGGGAAAATAACTCAGTCATAGAATGCTTGCCTCGCAAACACAAGATCTGGGTTCCATCCCAGCACTGAAAACACTATTAATCAGTAAAATAAACAAACAAATAAATAAAAGCAAGTAAATTAAGTGCTGAAGTATAAAATTAAAATAGATGTAAACATAAAAACTTAAAATAATGCCCTAAAAACTTTTTTAAATGTTAAATTGTAAGTCAAGACAAAAAAAGGTAAAAAAGTTAAATTGTGACACGATCTTTCTCACATTCAAGAAGACAGAAATACCAAAGCCCTTTTAATTTTGAAAAATGTAATATCAAAAATGAATGTTAAAAATTAACGGTCAGAAAAATAAGTTATATCAAGAAATTAGTGGGAAAAAAATTAAATTAAAATACTACTAGCTCTCACTGCCCAAGAAGAAAGTAGAGGAGAGAGATAGAGAGAGGGAGGAGAAACAATGCAGGGGAAAAGCAAACAGAAAATACAAATTACCATTGTGAAATAAGAGAAAGGAACTCAAATCACCTTGCAGGGATAAAAAGATTTGTAGAATTGATGAACATTTTTTGTTCACACAAAATCTAGTATCTCCTGATGATAAAAAATAATGAAATTTATAAGCAAAAGTAGTCAACATACTATATTTTTCTTTCACAGTGCAAAAAACATGATTGGTTTTTCACTTGCAGTCTCTGTGGCATAATATATTTTCAATACAATATACTGTGTTCAAGATACCTGATTTAATGTCTTATTACTAGTCATAATCAACAGAATTCTAAGGTTCTCATATAAGATATATTAGTTTTTATTTTCTACCTTCGTTATTGCCACTTTGATCCTGAGGTGGTGCAGATTCAAACACAGGGACCTCCTTTGCCATGGTGCGCATCCAGGAAATTTGCCCAGTGGAAGCCTCCGAGGCCCAGCCACACATGTCAAAGACAAATCCACAGGCGTGACATACTACAGAAGGGAGCAAAAGGACCTTGATGGACTACAGTCAGCTAGAATGGCCGCTTAAGAGAGTTCTATGTTACAATCAGCTAAGAGGTTTACATATACTCTCTGCAAGTTTTGATTCAATAAACTTTATAGTGTACCAACAACCTTGTTCTGCAAAACTTCAATTGATCCAGATGTGTATTCTTTCAAGTGAGAGCAACAGGTAGAAAAGAGAGATTTCTAGTTTTTCCTGTACCACTGCTGCAGTTGCAATTTTTAAAATTTCGTAATGTTTGACCTTCCCTGCATTATGGGATTAGATTAAATTATTTAATCTTCATAATCACACTGAATTTTAAAAGAGAAATATTGTGTGTAATTCTGTGGTTTTTAGTAATGCTATTTTACAAAACATCACTTTAAATAGATGTGTCTAATATTTTCAGTTTTTTAAGCCACAGACAATAATACTCCAATTCACACTAGGATATTAAGGACAACAGTTTGGCATATGTGTATTCATGTGATTGGTCTCAGAATCTTAAAAATTATAAACATCTCAAATTAACACTTACATCTCAACCCTTCATCTGTGGCAAATTTGCAAAGATTTGTATCTGGATGACACAGTTCCTGCTCAGCACTCAATTCTTCACATGGTAAGATCTCATCTGTTAAATTTAAAAAATGGCCAGAAAGACTCATGTATTTTTAAAATGTTGACATTCATTCTAAAAATCACTCCTTGTCCTTTAAATAACAGAGACGGGGGGTGGGGGAAGAAGAGAAAGAAACAACCATACCAATGGCTAATGCTTCCGTGGTGCTCTAGGGGTATACCCAAAGGAATAAAAGAATGTGAGTCAGTTTACAAGACAGACACCTGCACACCCACGTTATTGCAGCATTATTCACAATAGCTAAGATACGGAAGCAACCAAGATGCCGAACTACTGATGAATGGATTAAGAAAATGTGGTATTTATATACAATGGAATTTTATTCATCCACAAAGAACAATGAAATTCTATCATTTGCAGGTAAATGGATGGAACTGAGAACATCATTTTAAGTGAAGTTAGCCAGGTTCAGAGGCCAAAGCTGCATGTTTTGTCTCATATGTGGAATATAGACCTAATACAAATACAGCAATACTATGATAAACAGGTCACCAAGGTGAGGTCACATATGAGGGGGGAGGGTAAAAGAAGGAAGTTAAGAAGGTGAATATGGTTGATGTGCTCTCAATACAAGAAAGAATATAGAATTTTTAAGTCTATTGAGACCACCATAAAAAGGGGACTAATAAATAAAAAAGAAAACTAGAGGAGATGAACCAATTCTAGTTATAATACATATATACGTGGAAATGGCACAAGGAAACTCCCCTGTATACCTATCTTAAATGAACAAAAATATCATTTTTTCTTCTTTATTTTGAAAAATTGGATAACAGGAGGGCAGAACAGGTCCTGCCTGGGGATGTTGGTACCAGGGGGAGGAAGGAGGAGGTGGTGAAAGGATGTGGGAGGGTGAATATAGTGAAAATTCTGTGTATACATGCATGTAAATAGAAAAATGATACCTGTTGAAACTATTCCAGGAACAAGGATATAAAGGAGAATGGTGGAGGGAGTGAATTCAAGAATGATATATTTGCTATATTGTAAGAGCTTTTGTAAATGCCACAATGTACCCCCGCCCATCACAATAATGAAAATAAATTAAAATAATAAAGGTAGCTGTGGTGTCTGGCAAGCCATCATCTATCTGCCCTAATGTTGGAACCAAGAGCCTGCTATCCCCTATTACCCATGTGACAAAAGCAGCATATGGTGTCCTATTTAGCTGGAAGTTGGATCTACCCTGGAACTACCTTCTCTTGAAGTCCTTTCAAATTGTGGCTGATTTGGGCGGGTGGATATGAAAAGGATTTGAAAGCAGATTTGCTTTCCTTTCTGCTCCTGGTGCTACTTGCAGAAAACTTTTACTTCACTTTCCTAAATACTCAGTTTTGACAACTCTCAACTTTAAATGGGACACCTCACTGGACAAGTTTGTAGCACTGATCTACAGACATAGGTTCCCTACCTCTCAGTTCCTGAAGATTATGACTCTTGACTCACTGTAATTCCTTGTTATTTAAATATTCATTTTTACTTTAGTTCTCAGTTTCATGGTTCTTCTTATGAATAATCTTGAAGAAGTTTGGCAAAAGGAGACCTGCCACCACCTCTCTATGCATGCAGATAACATTTCTTTGTCATAATTTTAAGTGGCCCAGTCCCCAACCATCACTCTGTATTCCATCTCACCCCTTTTAGTATCTCAACTCTAGTAATACAGTCATGAGCTATATACTGACATTTCAGTCAATGACAGGCTTCATATACAATGGTGCTCCCATAAGATTTCATTGCCTATTATGCTAGCAGCACCATCTTAGCCTGAGGAAAACCCTCCATGATGTTTACGCAATGATGAAATAACCTAAAGATGCATTTTTCATAAAGTATCCCAGTCACTGACTATGGGACTGTGTTTTGACTTCTACAGGCCTGACAAGACAAGCCTATGGTCCTATAATTGCTTCAGTTCCTCTCATCCACTATCATGTCCTCATTTCCTTTCTTACAGATGTTAAACAGTAATTCATCCCCTTCTCATGAGTCCCATGTTCTCTTGTCAAATACTGTATAGCCCTCACCATTCCAGCATCTATCTGTGCAGCTGAAGGGGCATGAAGGAAGGCTACAATTATCCTGACTGAAATAACTTCATATTCATGACCACTCACTTTGTTACATTGCAACAATCCTAATTCTTTCCTTTTTCTCCATTCTTAGAAAATTATTCAAAGCTTTCTATTCTCTCCTTAAACTCCCAGTTACTCCAAAACCATTCTTAGTTCATCGTCTTGCTTCACAGGGAAAATGAGATAAATCAGAAGTGTCCACTTAAGTCCCACCCTTAAGTGCTGCCCATATCTGGCTCACTCTGTGACTGGTCGACTGCCCATGTTCCTCTCTGGCCACTCCTTTCATTTGCACAGAAATTGCATCTCCTCTTGCCTATTTAAGGAATCATTCCAGGAAGTTCCATCCACGTGTTCTCATTCTCTATGAGCCTTAACAGTCCAAATTGCATCCATCATAAGAATACTACCTATTGGCCAAAGGCCTTCACCTAAGTTCTCAAAGTGCTGCCTATTTTCACAGACTCCAGCTCTGATTCTTCTGCCATCTAGATTCCTGTATCTAATACTCAAATTTTCTTCCTCAACATACGTAATACAGCAGTGATCTTGGACATACTTAATCACTCCTCCCTCAGGAAAAGTATTTTTCTTCTCTACATCAGCACAAAGCTTTCTCCTGAATTTTCTCCTATTACAGCTGTTGATATGAATGTAGTGTGAACATGCTGAGTGCTCTATGTAAATGTTCACCACCTCACCCTCACCTCTGGTACTTCTTAGCTCAATTCTGTTTTCTTGTTCTACATAGCAATTATCACTACACCATAAAATATGCTTCTTATTTATTTAATTGATGTCTTTCTCCTCCTAACTAAAATGTAAGCTCCGTGAAAGCAAGGGTTAATATTTGTTTCTCCACTGCTGTTTACATCTTCACTGCCTAGAAAAATTCTTGGCATAATATAGGCGCTCAATATATATTTGTTAAACAAATGAATAAATAAATGACATGAGAAAAATCAACAGAATGTCAAAAATTTTGTAGGCTCTTTGTAAATCATTTACATTAATATTTGTGATAAAACTGAAACAATTGGCTATGAAAATGATTTACCAATTTGTACATAATCTGGCCTCTCATAATACTTTACAAATGATGAATATGCAACTCTTCCTCAATGTAAGACACACCAAAAATAAAACAGCACATGTAATTAAGGGAATGCCGGCAATTAAGCTAAGATTACACAATAACAATTACCATGAAACAACTAAAATTGTATTTGTGAATTCATGCAAGAACTACAAATCTTCTGCCCCCTACAGCCACATAATTAAAAGTTGTATCTTATCTCTAATTTGTCACTATTTACACAATACCACTATAAACAAAACTAGCAAAATAGCCAAGTACAAACTGCATAAAATTGAAATGTATCTTATGTCAATTGTGTCAATTGGTACTTGACACAAGATATCTTTTTTGCAATATCAACCACTTGTACTGCCATTAGCCCTCAAACTGGAATTTTTTTTTTTTTTGCTGTATCGATGTTTGAACTCAGGGCCTCCGTCTTGAGCCACTCCACCAGCCCTTTTTTGTGATGGTGGTTTTCAAGATAGGGTCTCATGAACTATTTACCCAGGCTGGCTTTGAACCATGATCCTCCTGATCTCTGCCTCCTAAGCACCTAGGATTACAGCCACCGGCACCTGGCCAGAATTTATAATAAGAAAAATAGTGGTATGAGTGGTGGTGTGGCTCAAGCTGTAGACTGTCTGTTCTGTATGTAACAAAGCTCTGAGTCCAAACTCTATTCCCACCAAAAAACAAATAAATAGTGGTATGTGGGTATGTGTTTTGGTACAATATGCATATTTGTCAATCAGTGTATCTCCAAGACAGCTCTTCTTATTTTAATGCATTCAATCCAATAACTCAAAATTATTTAGAAATATATTTATATTCACATTCATTCATATTCTCTCTCTCTCTCTCTCTCTCTCTCTCTCTCTCTCTCTCTATTTATTCTTACATTGCACCACTACCTGGTTGTAGGAATGCATTTTGGGGATTTTCAAATCCTTCTTCAATGACACATGAGGGAACTTAGCCAACCATTTCAGGGCCTCTATACCAATGAAGTCACGTGTCTAAGGACTGTCATCCTTCAAAGCTTATCTTGCACAAACAGGTTGTGTGAATTTGGCCAGGAACTCCCAGACGTTAGGGAATGAAGTCCAAGTTTCAAGGACAATTCAATAAAAGTTACAATTGACAACTTATTTTGACTCTAGAGGTTTGAGGCAATTTCTTTTGTGAATTTTCTTAAATTGGCAATGAATTTCAGTAAGTAGTTATTGGCTCTTAAAATATAAACTGAAACTAAGATTATAAAAAAGGTAAAAAGGTTTTGGTTATTTAACTGGATATGTATGCATCATAAAGATTCTAATTAAGTGATGGTCTGTATATTTGTGTCATTTTACAAATGATACTGAGGCAAAGTCCTGGAAAGCCAATCTCAAAATATTCATAGAATTTTGCAATATTCTGATTGCAAACCACAGCATGCAATCTTTACAAAAATTTATAATCAGCAATTTATTCAAGAATCAGGGTTATTCAAGAATCACTGATTAAACTCATTCTTATTTAATCACAGTCACAAATACTAACTTCTTTTTTATATTTGCTACTTTGACAGAATCCAAGACAATATTCTCTCCAACAAATTTACAGCGAATTTTTGCATCTTGGGAAGGACTGAGGCTAAAACAAATGTGTGGATAGAGTCTAAAAGTTTACTCTAATATTAAAAAGAGATCTTGATTTTAATGCCCAACTTGCAACACATTCAGAAACCATGAAAGCAATTATAATTAAGCACTATTATATAGTTGTTTACATTTTATGGTAAACAGTAGTATACAAACTATTTTTTTCTAAACAATACACTTAACAAGCTAGGC